ACAGAGCAGGACAAAAGTCTGTCTCATTTCACAAGTCTAGGTCCAGTCAAATGCTCACTCTAATGTCTGAAGTAAATGAACATTTACAATGTTTCGAATTTGTGGAAAAACAGGGCTCTGATGAATATGCTTTTTTGCTTTCTCACGTAAGTAAGAATATTATCAACGACTTAGAGTTTGATGTTACAAATTGTGTAGAGAAACCAAGGGTACGAAAGCTTTCCATCAAACAACACAAGCCCGGTGAATGTCCAGTTCTGTCACTGATGGGTGTCAAGTTTCACAATTCTGAAACTGTGCCAGTTTTTGAAAGCAACAAGATATCACCTAAAATTTCTCCATCAGATAAAATGTGTACTTTTCCGCCGATTGAGTTAAAAAGAAAAAATGCCAGTTTGAAGCGAACAACAATTGAATCCGTGCTTGTTGCTATCCCATCTTTTAGTTTTGTCAGTGACCTCGATTTGAGCAGTACAAAATTGTGTAGCATTAATGGAATGACCACTATGGATAATGACATGCTCATTTTGTGCGATTCAAACTTGCCGAGAATAATGATTTTTAAGAACGACTTGTTTATTTATACAGTTAATGTCCGCTATGAAACCTGGGATATTGCAGCCATAATAGAAATGGACGTTTTAGTAACGTCACCAGTAAACGATGATCACGTGATACAGTTCATTGATATAAACAAAAAAGCAGTTATCAAAGAGACAAAACTGAAACGCTGTGAACAAGGTGGTATAGCTACCGCCAACAAAACCATACTGATAGGTTCAGAGAACAAAGTTAAGATCTTAGATCACAGAGGTCGTCAAATGAAAACTATGTCGGGAATCAGTGGTAAAATAAATTATGTCCATGTATGTGGAAACAACAACATCGTCTTAATTACTAATGAAAACGTTCACTCAGTTACTTCCGATGGCGTTCTTTTGTTTTCGTACACATCAACTGATCTGATGTTGCCTGGTAAACCAGCCAGTGATCAGCAGAATAACATATATATCCCTGGATTATATTCACACGTTGTACAACGCCTTTCATATGAGGGAAAGTTCGTTGACGGCGTTTTGAATGAGAACAACGGACTTTATTTTCCGACGGCAGTTTGTTTTAATAACAATTACACAAAGTTGTATGTTACCACCAACTCCGGAAACTCAGTAAAGGTGTTCAAAGTAGATAAATAATTTAAAAAAATATCTTATTTGTGTATTGCTCAAATATGTTGAAATTATTATTATATGGTAGAAAAAGATTTTTTGGAATCGTTGGTTACATTCTTGTGTATATAAACATGATAAATAATGTTGCAATTTTCTTTATTTTATATGAGCATTACAAAACATATTACCAGCTGTCGGTACGGCAGAAGCAATCGGTAATTAACACATATTCAGCTAATGTTTTTTTCCCGGAAGAACAGATAGATAAATATATTTCAGTTTTCTTCAATTATCTAAATTGCTGCGTCGTATGGCGTTTATTATCTCAGTTAATACGTCACTCTCGTGCATGTTCATACTATGTGTACTTCGTTAACAGGGGGTGTGGTCCGTATACAAAATCTGCTTCAACAGATTTTGAGGGAAATCGGCTGAAATTAACACCACATAAGTTTTGCGGTTAACATCACGAATATAGGTTGATCAATACGATGTGTGTGTGTGTGTCTTAACTCACCAGAAACATGTTCTCACGATCTTAGATCTTTTGATACCAGTATATTCTTCTGATCTGTAATCATACCTTTTGCGTCCTATTCCCGATTGTGACATTGTGACATTGTGACTAAGCGTGGATTTGCACGACGGGCGATGCATGCATAGCTGGAGACGTTTACCATGTCGACGTAACCGGTTTTTCTCCTGTTTGAGTTCATGCTATTCCTTCAATTTTTGTTTGTTACCTTGATTTGTCTAATCTTAATCGATTAACGAGGTTTGAACATCGGTAAACTACAGTCTCCTTTATTCTTCTAAATATTTACAGTATTTCTATGTTAATATCTTATATTTAACGAATTGCTATACAATGGGCCATATGTCTTTTTCAAATATGAGGTTCGGACTCACTCATTTACAAAAATGTCAAGTAATGCATTATCTCGTTTTCAAGTCAATTTCGTCAATGATAGCAGATTTACTAAAATCTACATAAGAATCTTCAATTTAAAGGTTTCATAAAAGATATGTAGCCGGATATGTACGACCTTATCGCCAAACAAGAACCATTTCTGCCGTGTAGTGTCTGCTCTATACACTTTGGATTTGTCGATCAGAGTATTTTTGTTATCCTGTATGGCAGACCCGGCAAACATTGACGGCTGATCTTGCCAATCATAAACAAAAGTTGTGAATATACTTAACTATTCATATTTTTTGTTTCCAAACCGAAATATCCAAAAGATCGCAAATCTTCCTCTCTGTTTTGATTACTATAATAAGGCAGGCCTCATGGGTGTACCTAAAAGGGTATAAAAACGAACTGTATTGCGAACAAGGCTCACAAAATGAAACCCCCACCCCCACATAAAGCAATGGCAAAGTCTCTAAATATGAAACCCCAAAAATATTCAGATCAAAATAAGTTGAAGATCGCGATAAAGTTTCAATTTTTTTTTATAACGTGTTAAGTTGTGGAAACATCCGACTAATTCACAGGATCTCTGATGACTTTTCGTGTTGTATTATACAAAACCATTGAGGTTGGGCAAAGAAGTAAAGCTAATCGGCAGACTAGACACACTAATCAATTGTTCCAAGATCCAACTTTTAGGAATTTTGGGTCCTCAATGCTTTTCAACTTCGTACTTTATTTGTCATTTTTAACTTTTTTTTATTCGACTGTCACTGAAGAGTCTTTTGTAAACGAAACACAAGTCTGGCGTCTAAAATTTCAATCCTGGTTTCTATGATGAGTTTATTGAAGGAGAAATACTAGTTGAATAAAAAGATACAGTACGAACTTCAAATCGTCCTGAACATGCATGAAATATTTCCAACTGGACGTTAAGCAACGAACACTAAATCAATCAAATTAAGAAGACATTCCTTCAACTCTGGCTTCCTCCACCAATAAAAACTGACCGCCACGAAAAAGCACAAAAGTGCGGAAAGTGGCGTTTAACACCAATCAATCAATTAATCAATCGATCCTCTAAACAACCCTTCCATACAATCTAATCAAACAGAAGTGTTTTTAAAATTTAAATCATATAGTCCTTTGAAAAATCTTATGGCAAATTTATTTATTGCAACTCACATGAAGTCTTCTTTTGTAATGAAAAAGGTAAATATGCTATGTATATCCTTACTGGAATTGTGATGAGATGAATAAAGCTGGTAATTTTCTCCAAGACAACATCTATGTACGTTACGACCCATGTAAACGTATTCATCTTTGTATATTGTCTGTATTGGTAATAAAATTGATGTTATTTTAATATATTGATACATAGCTAAATATGTATTGCTATCCAGTTGGGAATAACTATGGTCCACTCCTACACCCTAAAGATACTTTTATTTTGGCACGGCACAAGGTCACGCCTATTTCAAGACTGCTTATGACGTCAATATCAACCTGTGTGAGGTGTACTGATTGATATTTCAGTGTTGGAAAAGTGGTTTATTCATGGTGTTGTTAGTTTATTTTCGACTTATGAGTTTGAATGTCCTTTTGGTATCCTTAGCCTCTCTTTTAGTTGGAGTTGGGGTTTGAACTAGCATTCAGTAACTACTAGAAAGCTTAGATCGGTGTCCTTATTGTACCGATCTGATCAGTAGATCTATTGCAAATTGAAATTTTGTTCTTATGTTGTTCTGTTACCATTATGTCACTGGTTATGGGGAGATTAGCGCTCACAAACATTTTTAACCCTGGCACTTTCTTTATGTGCCAAATCAAAAGCATGTTATCTAGTGGTTGTCGTATGATTGCCGTCTGCCCCAATTGATTTTATCCCTTGTTTTAAGCATATTCAGGCCTTTAGTTTTTTTCTTCTTCTTTTGAATTGCTACACATCTGTAATGTCAGGGCTTAAATAGTTAACTATACAGTATTGGTTTTGTCCATTAGTGACATAGTTGTTAACATCCTTTTCAGTAGGTCTGTGGTGGATGGTGGTCTAATTTGAAATTGTACCACATCATTTCATATTCATTTAAGGTGCATCGGAATGATGGCCAGTTCTTTATCCATTTGTAGCACCGATTGTATTGCTAATGGCAAGTTTAAGTCGTCGATGTCGCAAGCAAAAAGATATTTTTAGTATAGCTGATTAGAAGAGATTGAAACAAATACAGTCACGCACGGTAATAAATATAAAACCAAAACAAAATCGGCAAGTGTTCTATGTATGAGTATTCAATAAAGATGGACAATGAAATAAACATATGAAAGTTCAAACATATATGAACTCCTGGTTAAGGATTAGAAACACTTGAGAGGATGCAGTTGTTTACATCCTCTCCTATTGTCGCTGGTGGATAATGAAAACACTTCATAATGTGGTACATCCCACACCCTTTTCTGGATTTAACTTCATCTGGAATGCTTAAACCCAATTTTTTTCAAGCCAACTGGATATATAAATGCAATGGTAGGTGGGCTATATGACCAGAAAAGACCAAAAAGGAATAGCAAAATTTATTTAAGGTCAACTTTGTCGGAGGGAGTTGGAACCTTCCATGTTTGTAGTTTCTGAATGATTTCTAAATTTATCAACATAGAATTATTAAAGAAAATTATTTTAAATCATGTTTGAACCAAGCACACACTAGTAACTAGTGGGCTGGTGATACACTCTGGGAATAACAGTCAAGGGATGGTGGAGTCGACTCTGTGCTTAATGATAATAACACTTTATACATTTGGAGTGACATAAGGGGCTTTTCTGGTATGATTTCCACATCGCCTTATTTTATTATTGAGATGACGTTTTGGAAAAAATATCATGAATATGTTTTCTATGGAGATAATAAAAACATGAATGCATATAATAAACATCTTTTATTTGCATAATTGTCCCACGGTACAGAAAATGCACTATATATTGAACATTTTCCAAAAAATGTAGAATATTTAACCATAACATGATAAACAATAACATTATCATATTTACTTTATGTAATAATACATTATCAATAATAATAACATATGTGTTGATCTATGCATGCATTGTGAAACTAAATACTGATGTGCTAGGCAACTGACTTTACATTCGAATAAATGATTACTATACATGTATGTTGAAATATAAGAATCAATCTTTTAAAACTAATTTTCTCCTCCCATTTTTTCAAAATAGGTAAATTATGACACTACTTTTGGGGATATGTTGTTAAACATCATAAGAAAGCAACCCAAAACAACATAACACAAAAAGAAACCATCTAGTCTACAGACTAACATAGTCTTTAACAAATAACTAAACAATTCAATCAACCTTTAACAAATAAATAAACATATGTCTACACACTATGTCAACTTGTCAATTGCCCTCAAAGTCTACAACAAAATACAGATTATCCAATAGATTGTACCTTGAAAAGAAACATATATGGAGGGAATAATGTTCTGCTCTTCAGGTATATAATACTTGAAACAGTGTATAACAGGCTATTATTTAAAGTTGGAATTATTTTAAATTATGGAATTTGCATAATTTCTTGTGTTTGAAATTTTTAATAAATTCCATGTTTATTTGGACTTTAATGTTCTGTGCTGCGCACAACACTTTCTATTACAAAGAAGATAGTACATTTTCAATAGAATGTAATGTGCCGCGCACAACACTATCTATACAAAATACATTGTATGAGAAGTGTTATGTACACTCAAAACATTATAATACCAAACAAACATGGAATTTATTAAAAATTTCAAGCACAAGAAATTATGCAACTTCCATAATTGAAAATAATTCCAAGTTCAAATAATAGCCTGTTGTATTCTTTTTTTTTTGTTTGTCGTCTTGCATAATACCTTTTAATATAAATTGGTGACCAAAACAATAAAATTAGATGCCATAAACATTGATACATTAAAAATATAGATTAAAGCTCTATACAGGCAACAGCAAAATAAACAAGGGGAAACAACTCTAATAAAATTGTCAAGACTTATAGAGACCCACAAAATGAAAACATCCTTATTTTTTTAAGTAAATTGTTCAACACATACAAAAGTTAGTGCATGATGTGAAAAATTCCTTATCTTTTTACAAATAAAAAGTTTCATAACTCTAGAAAAACAAAGTGAAAATTGTAAAAACATATATGACCTTGACACCAATCACTCAATATAATTAGGTGAAGTTTGAAGTCCACCACTCAAGGACTAGAATATTGAATTTCATAAGAAATCTAGAGAAAAATTGAAGCAAATTTGGAACAATATTAAGAATTTAAACCAATTTGAGCAGCTGACTTGTAAGAAATTACACAGCCATCTGAATCCAATACATTGTTTTGTACCATTTCACATGAATTACTACAGAAAACAAATAAATGTGGATAGTGTCCACATGTGGACACAGATGATGCCCTCGCTTGCATATCATATAGTTATAAAGGGACATAACTGAAGAACGGTAAAAGTGACACTACCCAAATTTGAACTTGATCTGAGTTTTGTGGTAACAAGCATTGTGTGTAAGTTTCATAACATTTGGTTGAGGCAAACTAAAGTTAGAAAACGGAAACAAAAAATGTGTACTTGATCTTTGTTTTGTGGTAATGATTATTGTGTATAGGTTTCATAATGTTTGGTTGGGGCAAACTTAAGTTACAGAATGGAAACTAAAAATTTTGCAATCTTTCGATATATAAAGGGGCATAACTCAATAATGATTAAAGTGACACTTCCCTAATTCAACTTGATCTGTGTTTTATCAGTGGAAGTCAAAATTAAACATTGCATTGTATAAAGCATTGATTGTAGTTGATTCAACTATAATCATGGACAAAGGAAGATAGCTCCAATTTTAAAAATTACTTGATATTTAGAAGAAAATAAAAATTTAGCAATTTTTTCATTTGTAAAGGGGCATAACTCTAGAACGGTAAAAGTGACGCCACCAAAATTCAAACTTGATCTGTGTTTTGTGGTAATAAGCATTGTGTATAAGTTTCATAACATTTGGTTGAGGCAAACTAAAGTTTGAGAACGGAAACGATAAATTCAGCAATTTTCCATTTGTAAAGGGGCATAACTCTAGAACAGTAAAAGTGACGCCACCAAAATTCAAACTTGATCTGTGTTTTGTGGTAATAAGCATTGTGTATAAGTTTCATAACATTTGGTTGAGGCAAACTAAAGTTATAGAACGGAAACCAATTTTGGGACGTACGTATGTACGTACATACAGACGGACAAGGGTAAAACTTAATGCCCCCTCCGCTACGGCAGGGGCATAAAAAACCTTAATATTAGTTGAAGATAAATGTTCTTGACCAAAGTCATAAAAAAACACTATTTTGGCCCCCTAATTTACAACTTTGTCAACAATCCTCTGCAATTTGTATGTTCTGTTTGTATTAGGGATCATGGTGTTAAAACTTTAGAATAATCTGGCAACAAGAACATCATTTACTGCAAAGAAACTATAATGTCTACACACAGATGGAAGGACAAGGAAGGCAACAAACAGCACCATATTTTACAACCAACAAAACATGTTGTCGTATAAACAGACACTGTGAAGGGCTTCAAGTATGGTCATACTTAAATCAATTAGAGATCATAAATAAATAAGATGTATCAAATATATGAACTGCATACTCGTCAATGATTATAACAATATTCAACAGTACGTAATATGTGTAAATGGTGCCTGGATTACATCAACATACATTTTATAAAAAAAAAAGGGAAAAATCAAACAAAACAGTCCCCAAAAAACAAAGAGCTAAGTAGTCTAAAACATATCCTGTACATAACATTATATATTGTAATAGATTTTTATGTATTCAAGCTAAATAGAGACAGCTGTCAAACTTTTATGCTATCAAATCTATAACTCAACAATTTTAGCTGGAGATTAAGAAAACAGTGCGGTATTTCTTTTGACAAGGAACAATAAAATGCTTCGCTGGGCGCAGCTTGATACGACCACAGAGGTCGAACCCTGAACAGTTGGGGCAAGTATGGACACAACGTTCAAGCTTGATACAGCTCTGAATTTGGATTGTGATTAAATATTTGACACAGCATAGGTTTCTGACACAGAAAGAATGTGGTCTAAGAACTTCAAATTTTTTAATTTACCTATTATGGTCCAATGTCCAAAATCATAATACATGGTTAGATTCAGCATATCAAAGAACCCCATATATTCAATTTTTGTTGAAATCAAACAAAGCTTAATTTTGGACCCCAACTTGGACAAACTTGAAAACTGGTCCCATAATCAAAAATCTAAACACATGTTTAGATTCAGCATATCAAAGTACCCCAAGAATTCAATTTTTGTTAAAATCAAACTAAGTTTAATTTTGGAGCCTTTGGACCTTAATGTAGACCAATTTAATAAACGGGACCCAAAATTAAAAATCTAAAAACACGGTTAGATTTGGCATATCAAAGAACCCCAATAATTCAATTTTTGATGAAATCAAACAAAGTTTAATTTTGGACCATTTTGACCTCAAAATGAACCAATTTGATAGCGGGCCCACAAATAAAAAATCTAAATACATGGTAAGATTCAGCATATCAAAGAACACCATATATTCAATTTTTGTTGAAATCAAACAAAAAGTTTAATTTTGGACCCCAATTTGGACCAACTTGAAAACTGGGCCAAAAATCTAAAATCTAAATACATGTTTAGATTCAGCATATCAAAGAACCCCATATATTCAATTTTTGTTGAAATCAAACAAAGTTTTATTTTGGACCCCAACTTGGACCAACTTGAAAACTGGGCCCATAATCAAAAATCTAAACACATGTTTAGATTCAGCATATCAAGTACCCCAAGAATTCAATTTTTGTTAAAATCAAACTAAGTTTAATTTTGGAGCCTTTGGACCTTAATGTAGACCAATTTAAAAAACGGGACCCAAAATTAAAAATCTAAAAACACGGTTAGATTTGGCATATCAAAGAACCCCAATAATTCAATTTCTGATGAAATCAAACAAAGTTTAATTTTGGACCCTTTTGCCCTCAAAATGAACCAATTTGATAGCGGGCCCACAAATAAAAAATCTAAATACATGGTAAGATTCAGCATATCAAAGAACCCCAGAAATTCAATTTTTGTTGAAATCAAACAAAGTTTAATTTTGGACCCCAATTTGGACCAACTTGAAAACTGGGGCAAAAATCTAAAATCTAAATATATGTTTAGATTCAGCATATCAAAGAACCCCATATATTCAATTTTTGTTGAAATCAAACAAAGTTTAATTTTGGACCCCAACTTGGACCAACTTGAAAACTGGGCCCATAATCAAAAATCTAAACACATGTTTAGATTCAGCATATCAAAGAACCCCAGAAATTCAATTTTTGTTAAAATCAAACTAAGTTTAATTTTGGACCCTTTAGACCTTAATGTAGACCAATTTAAAAAACGGGACCCAAAATTAAAAATCTAAATACACGGTTAGATTTGGCATATCAAAGAACCCCAATAATTCAATTTATGATGAAATCAAACAAAGTTTAATTTTAGACCCTTTTGACCTCAATATGAACCAATTTGATAGTGGGGTCCACAAATAAAAAATCTAAATACATGGTTAGATTCAGCATATCAAAGAACCCCAGATATTCAATTTTTGTTGAAATCAAACAAAGTTTAATTTTGGACCCCAATTTGGGCCAACTTGAAAACTGGGCCAAAAATCAAAAATCTAAATACATGTTTAGATTCAGCATATCAAAGAACCCCATATATTCAATTTTTGTTAAAATCAAACAAAGTTTAATTTTGGACCCTTTGGACCTTAATGTAGACCAATTTAAAAACTGGACCCAAAATTAAAAATCTAAATACACGGTTAGATTCGGCTTAACAAATAAATAAATGTTGTCAAAGATTTTACAAATCTAATGCGCCATAATGTGCAATTAAAGATTACTTCATGAAATTTTTCAATATTTGAAATTTGAAAAAAAAAAAAATATTTGAAGAATAATTCTTTTTAATTTCTGAAATCTGAAATGAGAAAAAATTGACCCCCCCACAATTTCTTTTTACCCCCCCCCCCCCTTTTTTCCCCCAAAAAATTCTTTCCCTCAAGATATGGTCATAATCTCAATTCAAATTTCCAATGGAGTTTGCAACCATAATTACCCATTTAAATTTACCATAGTGCTAATTTAATCTATTTTATAATAGAATTCAAAATATAGTGTCAAATCTTTCATAAGGATTTTTTTGTTAAAAAAAAAAGATGCAACATTTGCAGATATTTTTACTGGTCTTCCTTTATAAATATGCATTTCTTTAAACATAATTTAAAAGCAGTGTAAGGGAAGTAACCAAAACGTTGTATTTGGATTACCTCCCTTACACTGTTTTAAATTATCTTAATTGTTCATTAACCATTACTTTATACATAATTTAAAAGCAGTGTAAGGGAGATAATTTCATTGATGTATTTGATTTATCTCCCTTACACTGCTTTAAATTATGTTTTGTACTAAAGTATTTGTCCATTAACCAGGACAACCTTGTTTTTCCCCCTTTTTTGCCCCTAATTCTTAAATGGTTTGAGCCATAACCCTCCAAAGCAAATCCTAACCATCCCTTTGTGGTATGGAAACTTGTAGTATAATTTCAGAGAGATCCATACACCGTTCCACAGTTATTGTCTGGAAACTAGAAAATGCTTATTTTTGGCCCCTTTTTGGCCCCTAATTCCTTAACTGTTGGTACCATAACCCCCAAAATCAATCCCCACCTTCCTTTTGTGGTATTGAACCTTATGGTAAAATTTCACAGAGATCCATTCACTTAAACTAAAGTTAGAGTGCGAAAACTAATGCGTCTTCGGACGACGACGACGCCATCGTCATACCAATATATGACCACAAAAATTTTTTTGCGGTCGTATAAAAATGTCTTAAAACCATCTTTACAAGAAATCACATCGATGGTCTTGTGGTAGCTTGCATGCCATGTGTAGGGGAGGGTTTCCATTTGATTGTCAGGAATGATTATTTATCTGTTTGATATGAAAAAAAAATCAGGATCTAAAGACCTAACGTGATGGCACCATGCCGCATCCAACCCCTATTTCACAACAACACTATCCCAATCTCAATCATGTCATGTTATCTTTCAGATCGTGAATATACATGATATATATAAAATAAGGCAATGTTTAAATAATGCAAATGGATTTATATTCAAACAGTTAAATTTGATGAATTTCGTCTACATTTAATTTAAGCATCTTTCTTTTCCCTGTTTCTGAAAAGATCAAATTTACTCATGAGGATATTTTAACCTTTTTGACTTAATTGCGAAATTAGTCATAGTTTGCCCTTCACATATATTTCCCACTATAGTATTTTTATTTAAAAAAAATAATTATAATAATAAAAAAAAAATTCCCAAAAACTATTTCAGTAAATTATACATTTATAACAATAACCATAGAATTATTTGTCCCCTGTTATGCAAATTACCCACAATTAAATTCCATAATAAATCAATATGAGCAAAATTGCCATGGTCTGAAGTTTGGCAAGACTGAACATAAGAGACACCTCTATTGTATAGACCTAACAGTATACCATTGTGAAAAAAGTGGAAAATCTCAAATCTTCCAAACTGAGATGCAATTTTTTTAAGCAGAGCCTGAAAAAATAGTTTCAGCAGAATCTTCTCCGGTGAAAGTAAACTTGTACAATAGTTATTGCTATTATTATTCGCCAGCAGATTTTTTTGTAACTAATTCTATTTACAAATAACACCGTTTGCTCCTGCATTGTGACCTCATTATTATTACTTGTAAATGTTAAGTAGATATCCCAAAATTATTTTGATTAATACAGTCAGAACATGCAGAATGGATTTTACAAAATAACATCATATTAGAATTTTAACTCTTATCAAATTATATACATTCCTGGCTTTAAAATGTTAAGTTTGAGCGCCAGAAAAGCACTTCAGACGCACAAATTTTATGATTTTTTTTTTTTCACTTAAAACTTTTTAGTATTTGTTCTTGGTGAAATACTGCTTTTTGCTCTATTATCACATACTTTAGATTTATTCAGATGAAAATTGGTGATTGCCTTGGATAACTTTTAACCAAGTATTGTGTTGGTCTAGACCTGATTATGTCAAACCAAATTAATTTAAACCTATTTAATCCTTTATACTTTATTTTTTTTACTTCCTCAATGAGAAGGATATCAACTTTAATCCTATATAACTATTTAGCATTAACAAAACAACCAGGAAATAGTTATTATCAATAAAATATTTGACCAATTAAATTAACAATGATCCAAGCAATCTCAATCAAAAATATTCAAAAATCATTTAATTTTCACTAAAAATTATCTAACTAATGTTTAAACCAAAATATGATTACATAAGTACATTTCAGCCCTCAATAAAGCACTTATCATTCCAAAACAGTTAAACATAAAACAATGCAGTTTAAAAAATGATTAAGATATAAATGATGATTGAAGTTTTAAGAGAGGATGTAACACAAATAATTCAGTCGATATATTCCATTGCTTTACATTAGCTACATTCAAATACTAACCCCAGCTAATTGATGTTTAAACCATCATAGATGATTATAATACTATGTATGATCATCCCTCAATAAAACATCTTCATCTCCAAAACAGATCTACATGGCATCAGGCAGTTTGAAAATTATTGAGAAACAAAGATTCAACCATGATGATGTTTTAAGAAACAACTAACAAATAAATATATGTATATATATTACTAAAAACAACAATAAAATTCAATAACAAAAATATTAATGGGACTAATAAATGTTTGGATAGATATATTATTATTAAAATACATTAATTCGGTAATTTTTAATCTGAGATTTCTGTCAATATATAATTATATATACAGCGGTTTATTACACAATAAGCAATTTTTGTACGGCTCACCTTGCATCTGTAAATTGATATCAATATCTATAGACATGCATGGATATGTCAGCTGATAAACTGAACTACAATATTCAATTTAACATGATGAAAATATTTAATTTAAACATGCAATTTCAGTCAGTGTAATAGTTATTCAAGTAAATTTTTGGTTGGCTTAATTTATTTTTATATTAGTTCGAACTTTAAAATAGGCTGTAATAAAAAACTTTCATTGACCATTAAATTGTACTTTTATAAATAGTAAAGACAACCAATGAAACACTCTATATGTGTAATGCAGTCAAGCAAAAAAATAAAACAAGAAGAAAATATTACAGATAATATCTGGACTACTAAGGGAGATAACTCTACTTTCAAAAGTTGTTACCTGTAACTGTAATTTTTTTACTTTAACAGGAATTATCCCTAAGACTATTTTTTGTAATTCATTATTCATTACAAATAATCTAATATTTAATAAACTTATATTTGACTTTAGTTCTATTTCTAGTTGCCATCTTTGTCACTCAGTAACAAATCTGACAAGACATATAAATGTCCAATGTTAAATTCATAAAGATTGAATGCAAAGAGTACTGTTATGTAGCTTTTGATATCAGTCAATTTTGTTACTTTCATCTGTCAGGTAGTTTGACCAATACATTGAATTAAGGTCAGATAGAAAGATTTGTTATACTGGCCAGCATGACATTTTTCTTTTTTTTTGTATTTTGTCAATATTGGCTATCACAATTACAGAAACTACATTTGTGTATTTATGTTGGTTGGTTGACTAGGTTGTTAGTAGGTTGGAAAAGATTTGTATTTAATTCTTTAAAAAAATGTAAATAACATTTTTAAATAACTTTTTCTTTATTTGTCTATTCTTAAGCAATGGGCGATAGTCAATATGACCAAACTGCACAAGGTTTATCATTATAGCTTAAAACATTGAACTATTTAAATTAATGATTGAATTAGAGTTAAAAATGTTTTATATGCAAAATGTTTAAGATAATAAATACTGTTTTGTTTGGATCTTATATCTGTTATAAACAAACTTATAAATGTTTATAAGTATAAATAAAAGATCTTTACCTAATATACTTTGAAACAATATTTTGGAAAATCAATAACGTATTTATATTAGGAATTGAATAAAGCTGTTGTCTCACAATACAGAAAAAAAAATCCTTTGAAAAATATATATCTGACAGCAGGTTTTTTTTCTCACAAATACTTTTATAATTGTTACGGGCTGTGACATTACAAAAATTATAATAACTAAAATACCTCCACTTTGATTGTCAAATTTTGTAAAACAGTATAGTATAGTAGAATTATTTCAATTACAATGTGAATACCTGCACTCATACTTTAAAATTCAAACTTAAACGCAACTAAAGTCATTTGATATTGACCTTGACATCAGTTGATGTAGAGGCCCCAACAGGATATCTACTATACATATAAACAGAATACATAACTAACGAAGCACCCAATGAAAATTGCAATGTTAATTGGAAATCGAAAAAGTATATAGATGCTATACATGATAAAATAATGGCGGCCGATGTGGCGAAACCCTTTAATATATTGTCTGCATATTTAACTACCACTGCTACACATAACCCTCCAAACGATTGTAAAAATATAACAAACCAAACAATACTATGGTAGCCATGGAAAAATCCCTTTTCTGTCACTTTTGTCCCATCATTAATTTCCATGGTAATTAATCCTATCACTACACCCAGACCTCCGAGTTGTACATTTCGTAACCAAACGGATCCTTTGGTTCCTTTTAAAATCTTTTCAAAATACACTCCTGCAAACCCTGACATACAGCATGATATGACAACACAGATGAAGCCTAACATTGGATTCTGTTCTACAGCTGGTGGTGCTTTCTGTTTGGATTCAGTTGGCTGTAATTGTACAACTGACACACCAATAAAAAGAATGACAAGTGATGTCCATTGCAACTTTGAAATTTGTTTCTTCAACATGAACACAGAAAAGACAGCTGTGGTTAAAATTTTCAGCTGATATGAAACCTGAAAAAGAAACAACTTGTTTTGAAAGAATATGAATTTGCTTTAAATGAACTGATTAGTTAGGGGGAGGGTTGGCGCCTTCAAACTAGTTTAAACCGACACATTCAGTATGCGCATGTCACAAGTCAGGAGCCTGTAATTCAGTGGTTGTCGTTTGTTGCTGTATATCATATTTGTTTTTCATTCATTATTTTGTTCATAAATCAGGCCGTTAGTTTTTTCTTTTGAATTGTTTTACATTTGTCATTTCAGGGCCTTTTATAGCTGACTATGTGGTATGGGTTTTACTCATTGTTGAAGGTCGTACGGTGATCTATAGTTGTTAATTTCTGTGTCATTTGGTCTCTTGTGAACAGTTGTCTCTTGGAAATCATACCACATCTTTTTATTTTAATGATTATTCATATTAGAAGGCAAACCCATCAAGTCCTTACTTTTTAAAATTTAAACAAGTGGTACTGTGAGTATAGCTGACTTGACCTTGTATATAGACATTCCAACCTCTGGTGATGGATAACCAAAACATCAAGCATCAATTATATCATTCAAAGCATTCAAAACTTCTGAATTAAGCAGGAATTCGTATATTTGAAAGTATGTTGGTGATCACTTATTTGCAACGCACCTGCTGATGATCATGATGTGCAATAATAATACTGAGTAAGGTAAATTTAGAAATTATTGTGTGAATTTATTATTGTGATTTTTTTAAAAATGGACAAAAATGCGAGATTAATTATTGCAATTTCAGGAAAATCTGCATACAGATATATGTATCAGATATCAGAATGCAAGTTTTTATTATTGTGATATTCATCCAGTCGCAATATTCGCATTAATAAAAACCTAGCAATTATTTCTGAATTTACAGTATCATCAGTGATCATTAATATCCTTTAAGGTTTTTTTAACCAGACAAAGCCTGTCTTCATAGCAGGGGAATAAGAATTTCAAAAATGGTCCCTTAATGATAGATATATAATTTACTATCTATGAAGATATAACACTAATGTGAAAATTATAGTTTAGTATTAAATGTCCTGTTCATGCTGTATTAGATTTAAAATAAACTGCTTCGCTGAGCGCAGCTGGATACGCCCGCAGAGGTCCAACCCTGAACAGTTGGGGCAAAAATGGACACAATATTCAAGCTTGATACAGGTCTGAATTTGGATTGTATTAAATATTTGAAATATTATAGGATTCTGAATAAATGTAGTCAAAGAACTTGAAATTGGTTATATGAATTGAATTTATATTCAATTAAAGATTTCCTGGTGTTGTGCAATACACTCAGCTGTTGTGCAATACTTAGTAAATCTGTTGTCAGACTATAAACAATTAAAGTTCAATTAATTCTCAATGTCATATTAGAAATTTATGAAAATGTAAAGGGAGCATACATCAATAGATATAAACAATTCACCAAAGTTTCATGAGAATTGCTGACAGCATTTTTGAGTTATTGTCCGTAAACTGGAAAATCCCCCCTTTTTTAAGGAATAAAACCCCCTAACTCAGAAATGTAAAATGTATAAAATTCTAAATGATGCTTATATCAATAGATATAAACAATTCACCACAATTTCTTGCAAGTTGGTGAAAGCATTCTTGAGTTATTGTCCGAAAACTGGAAAATCCCCCTTTTTTAAATGAATAAAACCCCATAACTCGGAAACGTAAAATCTAAAATTTATAAAAAACGAAAGGGAGCTCATGTCAATAGATATAAATAATTCACCAAAGTTTTATGCAAATTGGTTAAAGCGTTTTTGAGTTAATGTCCGACATGTTGATGACGGACGGAGAGACGGACAGACGGACGGACGGACAGACGGACAACGGTATACAATAATACGTCCCGTAAACGGGCGTATAAAAATTATCTAATGAGAACTTATCCAAATTGTTTTGCTTACAATGTACAATATAGAATATATTATATAGATTTATAGTTCCAAAAAATCTACACATATCCCATTACATATCAATTTTACCAGAAGTAAAATTTTTGAATACCAGTATATAATTTTAATTTTTTTTTGAAAGGGTAGACTGCACTTCAACAAATTTAAACAAATTAAAATTTGTGCGTATCTGTGTTTTCTAAATTTATCACATTTTTTAATTTCTTTTGTAACTTGATTGATATATATGACACATAATGTAAATTTTGAATATATATTTCAAAGTGATATCCTAATCAAAATCAACTGTCTTGTGAACAAATTGTTTATTGTTGAAGACTGTATATCAACCTCTAGGTGTGTTTGAATCATTGGGTTACTGTTCAATTGACCTTTACCCAAATCCATTACACCACTTTCTATTCATGTCTACACTGTACATGTATGTTCACAAGTTATCACAAGCTATTAAAGTGCATTTCTGCACCTGAAGTTATCAAAATTTTATTAATATGTGTCAAAATATACATTTTGTTATTCATCAAAAACAAGTCTGTTAAGAATTTTACATATGTACAGTTTTACGTATATACAATGTATAAATATATTTAACTAATAATGAAATGTGTATTTTAATTTAAAGATTTTCATCTCATACTTAAATTTTATTCAGTAAGTCCTACAAAAATGTTTGGTGCAAAATCACACACCTAAACTGAAAGTTCAAGTTGGTCCCTTACAATGAATTCCCCTTGTGTGAATTATTCTGATCACTAATATGGATCTAATCGTATTGTAGCTACTAATCTGATAACTAAACATACCTGGTAGGTAGCAGCATCCAAATTAGACACAGCAACATACAGTAGATTATTCTGTAATACGTAAATAATGGATGGAATTGAGACTTTCACACAATCCATAGGCTGTTTGATTATATTATCAACCAGATGCTGGACAAATTTCTTAAAGCTTCCTTCTTGGTATAGTATTATTCCTAAAGATGCCAACACTTTGAATGCTTCGGACATGACAACAGCAGTAGTAGACATGAACATGTCCCCCTTTTGAGTCCTAACATATCTCATCGTCAGGATGAGTAGGGTATTTTGAAGGGCCAACAATACCAAACTGACGTACTTCAACATGCCACTGGTTTCTGGTTGCTTTGCTGTAATAAAATAAAGATTTCTTGAGTTTAAAATACTGCTAAGAATAAAATAATCTAGACTCGTTTTACATAGAAATCTCATATGGAATCTAGAGAGTGCAGTGAATGGAACTCTTGAATCTAATTGAACAGATCAGGATTTGATAGATAATATTAACAAGAATGTGTCCATAGTACACAGATGTCCCACTCACACTATCATTTTCTATGTTCAGTGGACCATGAAATTGGGGTCAAAACTCTAATTTGGCATTAAAATTAGAAAGATCATATCATAGGGAACATGTGTACTAAGTTTCAAGTTGATTAGACTTCAACTTCATCAAAAACTACCTTGACCAAAAACTTTAACCTGCCCACTGGCACTATCATTTTCTATGTTCAGTGGACTGTGAAATTGGGGTCAAAACTCTAATTTGGCATTAAAATTAGAAAGATCATATCATAGGGACCATGTGTACTAAGTTTCAAGTTGATTGGACTTCAACTTCATCAAAAACTACCTTGACCAAAAACTTTAATCTGAAGCAGGACAGACGGACAGATGAACGAACGGACGCACAGACCGGAAAACATAATGCCCCTAGGTGGGGCATAAAAAAAGATACGAGGACAGTCTCAAATTAACTTTTTTACAGTAAGTATGGTTAACGGCGTAAACAAACACATATATAAACCTTTTAAAAAAATCTCAAGCTTGAAAATTGCAATGTCAACACACTATTCTTGAAAATTACAAAAATTATATATATTCAGACATGACATAAGACAATCACTGCATCCAAGCAACCTTCCTCGCTAAGGACAGGCACATCAATATGTGGTGGGATTAACCTAGTTTTTTTTTAAGGTCACTACCAGAAAAGTACATAACTGTAAATTTAGTTTTCTGATTGAGATACAAAGTTCAAATATATATTGACCTACAAAAATGATATCACACTTCGAATTAATGGCGGCCAAGGGTTTCCTCAAGCTTTAAGGTTCGAAAAGTGCACAAAATGATCGTTTTTTGACAATATACCAAAAATGTGCAGACTTTGAAACCTAGAATGTGCTCTATTCAAGAGATTTGTTTAACCTAGTAGTAAGGCTTTTGAAATAGTTCCATTTAAGAACCAAATTATGGCCATTTTGATATTTTATGATAAAGTTGAATTTCAAGGCCATAATTGGCCTTAAATGAACCTTGTCCTTTGGTTGCAGCTAATTTACAGTAATGCAAGGTCACAGGCACTTGTCTCTGAAAAAAGTTACCTATATACTTCAATATTTCAAAGTATTATATTAAAGTATATACTATAATAGGTATTTTCTTTTCAGAGACAAGTGCCTGTGTGCAAGATATATCAGTTTTTTGTAGCACAGCATGCTGTACACATCAAAATTATTGATACCGCCACGGAAATGCCTGTTTACAGTGCAAGCTGCTACTTTTATGTCTTTGGGAAATTAGAGAATCATGTACAGCCATGTACTATAACAAAGGATATTTTATAATGTATCAGCCTTAATGTTTTTTAACACATGTTACATGTATTAAGGAATATATATACAAAAACTTGTGAAACTTATTGCAAACCTATATCTTAGAAAATGTTAGATATGAGATAATACACATTTTCATATTAATGGTTCAGGATTCAGATTATCATCTATTTGTGTCTAAAACTGATCTTCACCAATTGCAAAGAGATAGTATTTGTCAAAATGTGCATCTGCAACTTCGTATTGTTTAATATTGCAAATGTACTTTAAATGGTTTATGTTGCAAATGTACTTTAAATGGTTTTAATGTATTTGCCTTCAGTAAAATGATTAGATAGACTGTACCTGTTCTAATTCTATATTTTCATTGAAGCTGTCGAATACAACAAGATCCCACACAACCCAGAACCTGACATGAGTCAATTTATGCTCATTCAAAATCATGTCAAATCCCTCAAAACACAGTAATTAACAAGATCAGTCTGCTCCATCTGATTATGTTAAATTTTACACAACCTTGAAAAAGACAAAGTCTGCTCATATGTCCTTCTTGTTGTCTATACTGACTTCTACCAAATCAAACTTGTTCAGAATCAACATTGGAAAAATTCTACACCAAGGTATAATAATTCCATTTTTAATGTAACTGACAAATGATAGAACTTCCCATACAAAGTTTGTTTTTTTATATGCCTTTAAATATTACCTATTTCACATTCTATTTCTTTAAGCACCTGTACTTTATAATGAATTTTAACATTCAACATGGTCATTAATTTAACAAACGTTTCCATTTATTTAAGTGTTATTCAAATTTCCATGTGACTTGGATGGATAGTTGTCTCATTGGCACTCATACCACATCTTCTTATTTATATTTCCGTTTATTTGTTTGCTATAAACACTACGCATATTAATTAGCATAGTCTTTAATTTAATGAAAAAGACATGTTTATATGTAATTATTTGTAAATTAATGCATATGACTCTTAACAACATAAGCATTACAACTTACCTGACTTTAACCTCAAATAATGTGCACTTAGAATACAAGTTACATGAAATTTCCTTTTGAACAAATATTGTAACAACTAAATACTAAATATTATTTCCAACTGCTGCTAATTAAGTTAAGCTCACGATGATATCAATTTTGATATTTCTATTCAATTGGTTTTACTTAATTTTAGATTTATGTTTAATACAATATTCTGATATTAATACAAGTCTGAATAAAGTGCAAGTATATATATGTTTACATTGTAGAGGATCTTACTCCTTACATTTGACTTCAGGCAGATGGAAGTAGTTCCTAATTTTTTTCTAGAGGTAAATGACCAAAGATTTGTGACAGTATGCATGCTAATGTGAATTCAAATCTGTAAATACTATCACAATGAAATGGAGGGTAGGGATACTACATATTTAATAATGGCACAAAATCCTAAACACTTTATACGAAAACCAAAGCAAAGGATTACAGAGATTTTATTGCTGTTTATCAACTAAAGGCAGCAGTGATGCTTTTAAAAGTGCATCTACCAAATTACCAATAGTTACATATTCAAGATGGATTTGTTGCTTGATGCATTGAAGCACACATAATCATCGTGTGAATCTTATAATGATGTATTTCCCATTTTGTAATAGTGGTAAAAATTTAAATTAAAAGTTTAAATGCGCAATATCATAAATATTTGACTGAGACATAAAAAGTTATGTTGAATCAAATTTATGTACATGAAGTCTCAGTAACTCTTTGTTCGATTGTTTTTTTAATAGACCAGCAACTTAGATAAATAAAGCATCCCCTTTTCTGGAGACAGAACATTTCACTACAAACAATGTTGTTTTAGAAATTTATTCCTATATTTCTATTGGAAATAAACCATGTATTCTTAAACTGTGTAATATCAATTCTGGACTGCTGAGTCCAAACCATGCAAACAATTAAAGCATAGTACTGCTAAGATAATTTTGTCAGATAACAATTATTTTACAGCAAAAATACATGACAAATAGTGGAAATACAACACTATAAAAATATTTTTCTTTGAACTTACTAGATGAATAAGCTATTATAATCAAATGGGAGTATGGAGATAATATTTGTAGAACAGTGTAGTTCTAAGAAAAACTTGTAGATTGTAGAAATCTCGTATTATAGTTGTACAGGGAGATAGACCATAACACTTAGTTATCAAATACTAGTATATAGCTTAGTTATCAAATACTAGTATATAGCTTAGTTATCAAATACTAGTATATAGCTTAGTTATCAAATACTAGTATATAGCTTAGTTATCAAATAGTAGTATATAGCTTTAGTTATCAAATACTAGTATATAGCTTTAGTTATCAAATACTAGTATATAGCTTAGTTATCAAATACTAGTATATAGCTATCTCCCTTTTTTGTCAAAAGTGGACATATAACACTATAAGATTCACATGACCATATGTTGGATAATTTAAATGAATTACAGACCATAGAACTTAGGCTAATTAAGGAATCTTACAAACTTGGTCACAATTGGCCTGAAATTACTCATTGTAATATACAGAAATAATACAATCATTTTGGATAACCATGGGGTACAACTAAATATTTGTTAGATAACTTTGTCTGTCTTTAAAATTTCATGAAAGTGTAAATTAATGGACAATAAATTTGAAAATCTCATTTGTCTGTTATATTCAAAAGATTGTCGTTTTACAAGAACCCACTTTACCCATATTATGCTACTTAAAACTAAAAAATCTGTGAGCAGTAGCTATATATATTTCTTTGGTTAGATCTTCAGATAAATAAAAGAAGAATGTGTCTGAGCACATGAATGTCCACCTCAAGCTTTGCAATTTTTCAAGTTAAAAAGGGCATAACTCTAGAATGGTAAATGACTCATTGCCCAAATTCCAACTCTGTCTGCATGTTGTGGTTCTTAGCATTGTGTATGAGTTTCAATTTTGATGAGACAAACTTGAGTAAGAGTGCGGAAACTGAAAAAATTGCAATTTTCCAAGATATAAAGGGGCATAACTCTAACGGTTCTAATGTTCTAATGGCACAACTCTAGAACGGTAAGTGTCTCACTGTCAAAATTTGAAATCAGTCTGCGAGTTTTGGTTCTATAGCATTGTGTATGAGTTTAATAAAATTTGGATGAAGAGAAAACTTAAGTTGAAGTGTGGAAATAAAAATGGGACAGATAGGACAGAAAGAAGGATGGTTAAGGGTAACACTTAATGCCCCCGTTGCCTACAGCAGGGGCATAAAAATTAAAAAATTGTAAGCAGACCAAAAAAAGATTTTAAGGCATATTTTAACCAACCAAAAATAGGAGTTGTAAACAAAGGATAAGCATAAGGGGGATCATTTAAATTTTGAAAAGAAAATTCACTTACAGTTTTCAAGTAAATATTTCTTACAACTTCATGTAAACAAAAAGGATTTGTATAAGTATCAATCCCTGAGGACCCTGACTGCCTGTTTTTTGCAATTGTATACTGTAAATTCAGAAATTATTGCGAGGTATTTATAAATGCAAATAATGCGACTGTGTGAGTATTTCAATAATAAGAACTTGCATTCTGATAGAATCTGTATGCAGCTATTCCAAAAATTGCAATAATCATTTTTGCATTTTTGTCCATTTTTCAAATATCCAAATAATAAATGCACACACTACTTTCTGAATTTATAGTATTATATATATGTATATATATATATAAGTACATCTAAACAAGTGACAACTCTACGACAAATCCATCCATTGGATCACCAGTGAAGGTGATACACGGCTGAAAACATATAATATATTCATAATTACTCTAAATATCAGCACAACAATGTTAAATCTGCAAATTTGCTGCAATTTTTGTTCTTCCCTTACCGGGATTCAAACTCATGATATTGGGATATTGTGACAACACCGCCTCCACTGTTTCCAGTGCTCTAGACCACTTGGCCACCTAGACTGAACTAAAAATCCAGCTTTCTATTATATGACAGGTGCACTTATTCATTTTAGAAATGTTTAAGAAATTTTTACCTTTTTTCCAGACCTTGAAACATACAATGTAGTCATTATTAGCAAAGTCTTTATTGTAAAAGAAACATTCTGTGCAACATGGCCAGTTGAATGCCAATAATTGACAATCTGTGTTTTAATTTTTCCCTTGTGCCAGGATATTGACACCTTCTCTTTTTACAAGTAATTGGAAAATGATTATGAATGCCATGGGCATTGCAGGTTACCTTGCTTTGGGTAATTAAATTGCAGTTATCTTCCAAAACGTTTATCAGAATCATTTTGATAGAAATTATTTTGGAATTTAATAAGAAATAAAATGCTCCAGGGCGCAGCTTGATATGACCGCAGAGGTCGAACCCTGAACAGTTGGGGCAAGTATAGACACAACATTCAAGCTTGATACAGCTTTGCATTTGGATTGTGATTAAATATTTGACACAGCATAGGTTTCTGACACAGAATGAATGTGGTCTAAGAACTTAAAAATTTTAAATTAGACATTCACCTATAATGGTCTAATATCCAAAATCTAAATAAATGGTTAGATTCAGCATATCAAAGAACCCCAAGAATTCAATTTTTGATGAAATCAAACAAAGTTTAATTTTGGACCCTTTTGACCTCAATGTGGACAAAGTTGATAACGGGGCCCAAAAATCAAAAATCTAAATACAATGAAATACATGGTTAGATTCAGCATATCAAAGAACCCCATATATTCAATTTTTGTTGAAATCAAACAAAGTTTAATTTTGGACCCCGATTTGGACCAACTTGAAAACTGGGCCCATAATCAAAAATCTAAATACGTGTTTAGATTCAGCATATCAAAGAACCCTAGGAATTCAATTTTTGTTAAAATCAAACTAAGTTTTATTTTGGACCCTTTGGACCTTAATGTAGACCAATTTGAAAACGGAACAAAAAATTAAGAATCTAAATACACGGTTAGATAAATCGGCATATCAAAGAACCCAAATAATTCAATTTTTGATGAAATCAAACAAAGTTTAATTTTGGACCCTTTGGACCTCAATGTGGACCAAATTAAAAACGGGGCCCAAAATCCCAAATCTAAATACACGGTTAGATTCAGCATATTTAAGAACCCCAAGAATTCAAGAATAAAACCCCATTGAAATTGGTCAAGAAATAAGCAATTTATACGAAGTATCTTCTTTTGCACAATACTGTGCAATTAAATATTTCTTGCTATTGCGCAATACTGTACAATTGACAATTTCTTGCTATTGCGCAATATTGTGCTATTGGATATTTCTTGCTATTGCGCAATACTGTGCAATTGAAGATTTCTTGCTATTGCGCAATACTGTGCAATTGAAGATTTCTTGCTATTGTGCAATACTGTGCAATTGAAAATTTCTTGCTATTGCACAATACTTATTATATAATAATTTACACATCCTGTTTGGTGTGTATCTCCTACCATATCATTATTATTTGCTTTTAAATATAAATCAGAAATAACCAACTTAAAACGGAAAATTTTAAAAGAAAAAAAAAAGGAAACCCCCCCTCCCCCAAATTTTTTGAACCCCCTTATGATTCATCACCCCCAAACTTAATCCTCACCTTCCCTTTGTGGTATGGTACCTTGCAGTACAATTTCAGAGAGATCCATACACTTGAACACAAGTTATTGTCTGGAAACTAGAAAAATGTGTTTTTTGGCCCCTTTTTGGCCCCAAATTCCTAAACGTTTAGGGCAATTACCCCCAAACTCAAACCCAGCTTTCCCTTTGTGATATGGAACCTTGTAGTACAATTTCAGAAAGATCCATACACTTACACACAAGTTATTGTCCTGAAACTAGAAAAATGCTTGTTTTTTGCCCCTTTTTGGCCCCTAATTCCTAAAATATTGAGGCAATTACCCCCATCATCAATCCCAGCCTTCCCTTTGTGGTATGGTACCTTGCAGTACAATTTCAGAGAGATCCATACACTTGAACACAAGTTATTGTCTGGAAACTAGAAAAATGCTTATTTTTGGCCCCTTTTTGGCCCTCAATTCCTAAACGTTTCGGCAATTACCCCCAAACTCAATTCCAGCTTTCCCTTTATGATATGGAACCCTGTAGTACAATTTCAGAAAGATCCATACACTTACACACAAGTTATTGTCATGAAACTAGAAAAATGCTTGTTTTTTGCCCCTTTTTTGGCCCCTAATTCCTAAAATTTTGAGGCAATTACCCCTCAAAATCAATCCCAGCATTCCTTTTGTGATATGGAACCTTGTGGTACAATGTCAGAGAGATCCATACACTAACACACAAGTTATGTCTGGAAGTTACAAAAATGCTTATTTTTGGCCCCTTTTTGGCCCTTAATTCCTTTACTGTTGGTACCATAACCCCCAAAATCAATCCCAACTTTCCTTTTGTGGTATTGAACCTTTTGGTAAAATTTCATAGAGATCCATTCACTTAAACTAAAGTTAGAGTGCGAAAACCAATGTGTCTTTGGACGACGCCGGACGACGCCAACGTCATACCAATATACGACCACAAAATTTTTTTTGCGGTCGTATAAAAATTAACAAAAAACAAAAAGTGTGTGAATTTGAGTGAAGAACACATACATGACATAAGAAAATCTAAAATTGGCCATAAAATTTAAAAACAAAGATTGGCAATTTTCGTATATATATATAAATTTGTCAATTTAAATTTTTTTATTAGAAATAACAAAAAAATGTTCAAAGCTTGTTATAGGATAAAATATCGCTTTAAAGAGCTATTTTTTTTAATATAAGGGTTTTCAGTTTCAGGCTATGTAAATATAAAACATAACTTTTCTAGCTCAAATTAATGGAAAATAAAGGATATGGTTTATTAATTATGACAAAAAAAATCACTACACATTTGAATAAAATGCTCCGCTGGGGCGCAGCTTGATACGACCGCAGAGGTCGAACCCTGAACAGTTGGGGCAAGTATGGACACAACATTCAAGCTTGATACAGCACTGAATTTGGATTGTAATTAAATATTTGACACAGCATAGGTTTCTCACACAGAATTAAAGTGGTCGAAGAACTTAAAAATTTTTAATTTACCTATTCAAACCATATCATTATTATTTGCTTTTATATATAAATCAGAAATATCCAATTTAAAATGGAAAATTTTAAAGAAAAAAAAGGAAAAAAAAATCCCCCCCTCCAAATTTTTTGAACCCCCTTATGATTCATCACCCCAAACTCAATCCCAGCTTTCCCTTTGTGGTATGGTACCTTGCAGTACAAATTCATAAAGATCCATACACTTACACACAAGTTATTGTCCTGAAACTAGAAAAATGCTTGTTTTTTTGCCCTTTTATGGCCCCTAATTATTAAAATTGAGGAAATTACCCCAAAATTCAATCCCAGCCTTCCCTTTGTGGTATGGAACCTTGCAGTACAATTTCAGAGAGATCCATACACTTGAACACAAGTTATTGTCTGGAAACTAGAAAAATGCTTATTTTCGGCCCCTTATTCCTTAGCGTTTTGGGCAATCACCCCAAACTCAATTCCAGCTTCCCCTTTGTGATATGGAACCTTGTAGTACAATTTAAGAAAGATCAATACACTTACACACAAGTTATTGTCATGAAACTAGAAAAATGCTTGTTTTTTGCCCCTTTTTGGCCCCTAATTCCTAAAATGTGGAGGTAATTACCCCCCAAAATCAATCCCAGCATTCCCTTTGTGATATAGAACCTTGTGGTACAATGTCAGAGAGATCCATACACTTACACACAAGTTATGTTTGGAAGTTACAAAAATGCTTATTTTTGGCCCCTAATTCCTTAACTGTTGGTACCATAGCCCCCAAAATCAATCCCCACCTTCCTTTTGTGGTATTGAACCTTATGGTAAAATTTCATTGAGATCCATTCACTTAAACTAAAGTTAGAGTGCGAAAACTAATGTGTCTTCGGACGACGACGACGACGACGCCAACGTCATACCAATATACGACCACAAAAATTTTTTTGCGGTCATATAAAAACTGCAAAATTTCCTTAAAATTACCAATTCAGGGGCAGCAACCCAACAACAGGTTGTCAGATTTGTCTGAAAATTTCAGGGCAAATAGATCTTGACTTGATAATCAGTTTTACCCATGCTAGATTTATTCTAAATGCTTTGGTTTCAGAGATATAAGCCAAAATCTACATTTTACCCCTTTGCTCTATTTTTAGCCATGGCTGCCATCTTGGTTGGTTGGCGGGGTCATCAGACACATTTTTTAAACTAGATACCCTAATGATGATTGTGGCCAAGTTTGGTTATATTGGCCCTGTAGTTTCAGAGAAGATTTTTGTAAAAAGCTAACGACGACGGACGACGCCGATGACGTTGCCGATGACGGACAACGAACGCCCTTTGGGCCAGGTGAGCTAAAAAATAAACTTAAATATTTACTAAATTGTAGCTACATGTATTACCCTTTTAAAGATTTAAAAAAAAAAATCATACATTTTTTTGTATGTCATACATGTCAAATGGACAAATCTTTATTGAAACATATGATGTACTTTTATAATTTTACAAAGAATATGTATTTATCAGGTATGATTATCTCTATAGGGTTGAAACCATTTAATGAAACAGTTAATTGGTTGATATACATAAATAGTGGAAGTGACTTAAATTTGTGATGTATTTATTTGTATGAATTCTAGAGCATTACTTTATACATAGAAATATGTCTAAATACAATGTTTCTTACAAGGTTGGGAGGTAAATACCGCCACTGGTATTTACCGGTATTTACCACCCCGGACAATATTCCTTAAGTGGTCAATACTGGCAAATACTGGTCGATTTAAATTTTCATGGTGGTTTTTACTATTTATTGAAGTAAAAAAATTATAAAAGTAAGATATATATTTAAACTTTTATCGTTTGGCATGTTTCAGCTGATATAAATGAATGAATTTGATATGTTTTATTCATTTTTAACACTTATACCTACTAATTTAGTCCTTATTAGTTATGATATTGCATATTTTAGATATATGTATAAAGAATTGACAAATTAATTATTACAACATTTTTCAATCAAGATATTTTTTATTGAAAATGCATAATTTTTACAGATACATAAAACTACAGGTAAATGAAGTTACAGGTGTCTTATTACCTATCACCTGGCATTTCTAGGTGTGAAAATTTAATTACTATAAAAACAACAGCCCCCAATAAATGATGACAAAAATTGGTTGAAAGTAATAAAAGTGATATTTGAAGACTCACTTAAACAATAAAATATTTCCTGTCTATTAAATGTGAGACAAAAATCATCTTTATGCAGGAAATGGAAGGTATGAAGGACCTTTACTCTTATGGCTGAACTGTAATTTATGTTTTAAACCAAAAAATATATAATGTAGTATAAATTTTACCTTTACAATCAATAATTTATAGTTTATACATGATTTACATACACATAGTACAACCATCTTGACCTTAAGCACCAAACTGAAACCTGAAGACCCTATTTGGAACTTCTATACAATATAAGACAACAACAAAACCAGTGCAAAATGTAATGATTGCAATGCTATAGTCAGTGCAAAAGTCACCTGATGAGTTTCCTTGCCAGGGACGAAACATTTCTATCTTATGTACTAATAAATCATTGTAAATCACTGTTTATTAAGAATTTACAATAAAAATAGATATGAGAACATTTAAAATGACTTTAACACTTTCATTATTTCATTACTAAAAGTAATTGACCAGGTAGAGAGTGGATTTTATAGTAATGTCCACTCAAAATTTCAATCGACCAGTATTTGCCAGTATTTCCCGGTATTTACCGCCGGCATGGTCAATACTAGTGTTGACCGCTTTTTTTGCCAACCTTGGTTTCTTACAACTTAAAGACATTCTCCATTGGACAATCATTCCATACACTAAATAAAGTTGAACTATTGCTTTTAGTAATTGATTATCTGACAGAACCATCAAAACTTAACATTGACCAATGAACCACAAAACTGAGGTCAAGGTCAGATAAAACCTGCAAGACGGACATGTACACAATCATTCTATTCACTGAATATAGTGGTTCTATCTATTGTTTATAGTATCTGTGATATTTACCAAACCACAAAAACTAAAAATTGTCAAATGAACCATGAAAAAAGGTCAAGGTAAGATGAAACCTGCCAGACAGACATTTCCAACTTCCATGAGTAGGGTTTTTTTTCTCATTGTTGAAGGTCGTATGGTTACCTATAATTGCTTACATCCACTTCATTTAAAGTTTGGTGGATAGTTGTTTCATTGGCAATCAGAGCAGATGATCTCCTTATTTTTATATATGTACAATCATACCATACACCAAATACCGCTGATCTATTGCTTATACATGTGTAGTACATATGTAATATACATATGAGAAACTGTTCAAACCACAAAAATTTAACAAACCAATGTACCATGAAAATAAGGTCAAGGCCAGATGAAACCTGCCAGTCATATATGTACACCTTACAATCATTCCATACACTAAATATAGTTGCCTTAATAATATTGCTGATGGTACATGTTATTGTTTGTACCTGAGATACAGACTTGACCACAAAACTTAACATTGATCACTGATCCATAAATGAGGCTGAGATCAGGTAAACCCTACCTGGCAGCCATGTAGAACTTGCTAAGATCAATATACATGTAGTTATTTTATTACTCATTATCATGACATGCATGATAATAAGTGTGAATTTTATGACAAAAAACTATAAACTTTTCCAAGCAGTCCCTGAACCAAGGACAATGGACATATGTAAAAGCAAAACATTGTAACCTAACCTGCTAACGGATCTACATACATGTATGAGGTATAAAGTATCCATGTCTCCTAACTTCTAAAATGAATAGTGTATGCAGTCACTGTTGGATTGTAATTCCTATGTCTCATATCTGTAAATTCGTCTCAGGTGAGACAAAAATTAGGGAAGGTAGGCAAACAATTTTACTTTTCTATTATAAGTTTTAATTGGTTTAGCAGGGGAGAGAAAGAGTCTGACTTTAATAGTGTTTATTCAATTAATTGTGGACACAGAGATATATCTCACATGTGTGTTAAGTTGATAGTAAAGGCAAATATTGAAATTAAAAAAGCAATACACATGATACATAAACATGTAAACTAGGCAAATATCAAAAGTCAGTGACCCTAAAGTGTGATTTGGGAATAGAAATATGATCACTTACAATGTAGGTCTTAATCTAACCGGCAGTAAAACACTAGCCAAAGATGGCATTTGTTTGGCTGTGCAGGATGTACAAGTATGCAGCCACATCATGTCCAAATTGGGACGTTAAATCCTATGCCTCGTGGAAAGATATTGTCACGCTCTTTGCACATTTTGAACCCTTGCTACAACTCTTTGAGGGGTCCATGTGTGGCATGTTGCAAGGAAAAATTTCTGCCTCTCTTCAATATACCCTCATTTTCCAGTGGTAGTCAGAATTTTCCTAACTTATATCCCAGACAACCTCTATTACAGAACCTTAGCCCATTTTATATTTATCGTTTATTTGTTCTCGTCCTGAACATGCATGAAATAGTTTTCACTGGACATTAAGCAACAAACAATCAATCAAAGTCAGGGAACCATGACTGAATGTACAGGGCCAATCAAAGTCAGGGAACCATGACTGAATGTACAGGGCCAATCAATTAGGGTAGAAAAAAGATATGCCAATGATAATAGCACTGCATGCCAAGTATTATTGACAAATCATAAATTGTACTGAACTTATCACAAACACAAGCATTTTTGTGTAGGCCTTACATGTACAATGTATATTACTGTTTTTATAGAGCACAACATACTAGAATAATAAGATAGTTGAATGTGACCTGTACACAGGATGAAGAAGTACAAAAAATGTATACTAGAAATGTATCCCTCATTTGAACTATAGTTACTCATTTGGGGGTTGTGCCCAACCTGGTACAGTTTTTAGGAATTGAGACTGACCCCTGCCTCCTCTACAACAGGGCACAGTTGATGGTCAGTTGCAACGTTGCAAAACAATTTTTTATAAATACTGTGACGTTACACGTGAACTAGATATAAACAGACTAATTAAAGTATTTAAATTACAGCAGTTTGTAAACTGACTATACAATTTAATCCCTATTATCGGGGCGCTCTATCTCTATATCCTTTATATGGTATTTATGTTCTAAGTTTTGCATTACCTATTATAACTTTTGCATCATCAACCAGCCCAAGTTCAGCATCCCGAGTCTTCTCGTTACTTATCATATTGATTTGTGTAGTTTCTGACGTAGACAGCAGTGTTTCTGTTTGACAAGTCTGTGACATTTGTCGGATCAAAATATCTTGTTCTTACAAATCGATTTGCCTCCAACTCTGTCAACGCGTATAGACGACAGCAGGTGACATTTTTCTGAATGAGTTGACAACACGGGTTAAGTGGACCACGTCATCAGTATAACGGATCGGAATTCTGTATTCTGAATGTTTTGACTGGTTTTCTGTTTCAACACTCTCTATAATATCTTCAATCAGAATATGTTCTGACGGGAACAGTTACTACGAACGCGAACCTCCACGAAAGCACCCAAAAGTTTCCGAGCTGAATCCGCTTTTGCATCAAAAAAGAAACGTTTCCTGTGTATTTTCGATGAAGGTTATGAAAAGTCTAGAGATATTTCGTAGACAACTTGTATCTAAATAAGAAGTCAAGTGTACCAGATTTTATTATAACCGTAGTCTGGTACCAGACAAACTTGAATCCAGTTTATGTCAACATGCATTTCTATGCTATTATTCGATATTTTTGTATTTTTCTAGTTATTTGCGGCTTGTCATTAAGCGAAGAAGAATCTTGCGGAACAGGAACCGATGGGAAGTGTGAATCTAAACCAAAAGATGACCATGAAAAGACGAAATATACTAAAAGTAGTTATTTTAGCTCAAATTTTTATCAGTACACGTCAACAAGATGGAACTGTAAATCGAAACTTCCTCCGAAAATAATGTGACATAATCTTCAATTTGTTGAAGGCGGTCACTATATGGTAGAAGAAAAAGGGGTACCTCATCCTCCACCAAAATAAAAGTTAATTTATTCTTACGCTAAAAATGTTACATATACATAAGATGTGCAGTCCTCCACCAAAAGTAAAAGTTAATTTATCCCAACATAAAAGTGTAACGTATACACCATTGTATTAAGCATTGTCAAAGGTTTATGCAAGGAATTGTATATTTAAAAGGAATGGAAACGTGGCCGACTTCAAAGAAAATTTTATGGTGCATCTCTGTCTCTGGTGGTGCGTTAATTACATCCCGTCGCTCTAACTGGCTCATTACTTATCTGGCAGTTAAGTTACCGAACTTGGTCATTTAATCACGAAGTGAAACAAAGAATTTTATATTTAAATGTATAATTTCTTAAATGAAATAACAAAAAAAAAAAATACAACAATATAACAATACAACCTTACACAGAGTTACTTCTGAAAAACGTTTTATTCTTTTTGCTCGTCTTGATATTTCATGAAGGCAGAGACATATATAATACATATTGTATTATATATGTCTCTGATGAAGGTATGCAACAATTAGAAGAAATCTGACATTATACAAGTTTTTAAAAAGAAAGTTATGGTAATGCAAAAAGGAAAAAAACTTTTCAAATTTGGAATATGACTGGTGTAGAAAAGTATAAAGGAAGAAGTACGAGAACAGATATAGTATTTTATCTAGATAAGGCTCAAAGGTTTCCAGGTTAATCGACAATTACTTAAGTACAAAACATAATTTTAAAGCAGTGTAAGGGAGGTAATTCAAACACATATTGTCAAATTACCTCCCTTGCATTGCTTGTAAATTATTTATAAAGAAATGTATTGTCTTTAGGTGATTAGTTGTCAATTTATTTTTAGAAGTTACTATTTTAAAAATGTTTAATAAAGGTAATTTAATTATAGCCATGATTATGTATGTGAAGGAATTTTATTTTTAGATATTGCTATTTAATGTTGCTGATGGAGGCTTTTTAATTTTAGGCATGATTATGATGTCATTTTCTATTTTGAAAATTATTAAATTTTAGCCATGATTATGTATGTGAAGGAATTCTATTATTAGATATTACTATTTAATGTTGCTGATGAAAGTGTTTTAATTTTAGGCATGATTATTATGTCATTTTCAATTTTAATACTTTTATGATGTATTTAAATGGGTTTTTATGGTTGCAAAGTCCTAGCTGTCAATTTATTTTTAGAAGTTACTTTTAAATGCTGATGAAGGAATGTTATTTTTAGATATTACTATTAAAAGTTTTTAATTTTAGCCATAACTATGATGTCATTTTCTATTTTAATACTTTTATGATGTATTTAAATGGGCTTTTATGGTTGACCTTTGCGGTCGTATATTGGTATCACATTGTCGTCGTTCGAAGACATTTGGTTTCCGGACAATAACTTTAATATTAGTAAATAGAAATCTATGAAATTTAAACATAAGGTTTATAACCACGAAAAAAAGGTTGGCATTGATTTTGGGGGTTATGGTCCCAACAGTTTAGGAATTAGGGGCCAAAAAGGGGCCCAAATAAGCATTTTTCTTGTTTCATGACAATAACTTGTGGAACAGTGTATGGATCTCTCTGAAATTATACCACAAGTTTCCATTCCACAAAGGGATGGTTAGGATTGGCTTTGGGGAGTTATGGCTCAAACCGTTTTGGAGTTAGGGGTAAAAAAGTGAGAAAAAACAAGGGTGTCCTGGTTAATGGACAATTATGTACAAATTACAGTGTAAGGGAGATAATTCAAACACAACTTTGAATTAACGGAAAGAGTTCCATATGGCACCCCCACGGAATAAACTGTAATACATTCTGGTATTCATTTAGTATGGTGGGGGTGCCATATGGAACTCTTACCGTCAATTCATTTTTAGAAGTTAAAATTTTAATAATTTTAAAAATGCTGATTAAGGTAAATTAATTAGCGAGGAGGTTGAAAAAAAAATTGAGGAGGGGAGGGGGGGGGGGGGGGGGGGTAATAACAAAATTTGAAAAAGAAGTGGGGGTTCAAAATAATTTTTTTTTGAGGGGGGGGGGGGGGGGGAGGTCAATTCGCAACAGTATAGTGTATTGGACAAAAGCAAAAAATTGAATATAAATTCAAATCATATATAACAAATTCTAAGTTCTTTGACTACATTTATTCTGTATCAGAAACCTATAATGTGTCAAATATTGAATGACAATCCAAATTCAGACCTATATCAAGCGCGAATATTGTGTCCCTTTTTGCCCCAACTGTTCAGGGTTGGACCTCTGAGGTCGTATCCAGCTGCACTTGGCGAAGCAATTTATTCTAATTTCCAGACAGTAACTTGTGATTAAGTGCCCATACAAAAAAAAATGATAGGATGGCCAACTGCATTGCTCAACTGGCCGCCAGTTGAGCAAACATTTGAGGGCCAGTTGAGGGCTAGCTGGCCGTTAGTTGAGCAAATAGTTGAGGGTTACCTGGATTTTTGCCATGCAAATTAGTAAGCCCTCAACTATCAATTGCTCAACTTTATGCAAATTAGTTTAGCAAGGTTGAGCAAAATATCATAGTTGAGGGCTAGGTGTCCAACAGTTGAACAATTAGAGTTGAGGGCTACCTGGCCAACAGTTGAGGACCAGGTCATTAAAAGTTGAGGGCTAGGTAGCCAATAGTTGAGGGCCAGGTCATTAAAAGTTGAGGGCTAGGTGGCCAATAGTTGAGGGCCAGGTTATTAAAAGTTGAGGGCTACCTGTTCAATAGTTGAGGGCCAGGTCATTAAAGGTGAGGGTTAGGTGGCCAATAGTTGAGGGCCAGGTCATTAAAAGTTGAGGGCTAGGTGGCCAATAGTTGAGGGCCAGGTCATTAAAAGTTGAGCATTAGTTGGTCATTGCAAACTGATGACTACAAATTGTAGAAAAAATAAATTTAAATTGTATATTTTATAAAGCCAAAATACTGCTGAAAGATCTAAACTCACAACAGACTACATGACAGCTTTATCCTTGCTGTTTGTCGAGCCTTCGACTTTTGTCGAAAAAGCGAGACATAGCGATCCTACATTCCGTCGGCGTCGGTGGCGTCCACAAATATTCACTCTGTGGTTAAAGTTTTTGAAATTTTAATAACTTTCTTAAACTATCCTGGATTTCTACCAAACTTGGACAGAAGCTTGTTTATGATCATAAGATAATATTCAAAAGTAAATTTTGTAAAAAAAAAATTCCATTTTTTCTGTATTTTACTTATAAATGGACTTAGTTTTTCTGCCAAGAAACATTACATTCACTCTGTGGTTAAAGTTTTTGAAATTTTAATAACTTTCTTAAACTATCCTGGATTTCTACCAAACTTGGACAGAAGCTTGTTTATGATTAAAAAATAGTATCCAGAAGTAAATTTTGTAAAAAAAAAATTCCATTTTTTCCGTATTTTACTTATAAATGGACTTAGTTTTTCTGCCAGTTAACATTACATTCACTCTGTGGTTAAAGTTTTTAAAATTTTAGCAACTTTCTTAAACTATCCTGGATTTGTACCAAACTTGGACAGAAGCTTGTTTATGATTAAAAGCTAGTACATGTATCTAGAAGGAAATTTTGTTAAAATTTTGTTCAATTTTTTCCGTAATTTACTTATAAATGGACTTAGTTTTTCTTCCAGTTAACATTACATACAGTCTGCAGTTTAAGTTTTTAAAACATTTATTAGATTCATAAACTATCCTGGATTTGTACCAAAAATGGACAGAAGCTACTTACAATCAAAAGATGGTATAGAAAGGAATATTTTTATTAATTTTTTTCCTCATTTGTGTTGAGCCTGCGATTAACAGCAAAAGTAGGCGAGACACTGGGTTCCGCGGAACCCTTACGAATTTTTAAAAGTTATATAGTAAATAAAATCTAGTTAATCCTGCAGCCATATTACTTTTGATGCAAGAAGAAGTAAGATATATTGAAACAATGTTTAATGTTGAAAAATCCTTAATTGTCCTTTTCTATCTTTTGTAATATCTTCCTTCCACTGTACATTTTTTCATTAATTGCATGTGCGACATCTGTATGTGGACAACATCTTGAAATGGATAAGACCAAAGTCTGAAAGTAAAAAGAAATTAAACCTATAAATATATACAATTATGATAACTATAAATGGGATAAAACACTGTTTGTAAAATTAATAAGATGACATAATCATATATCATATTTTTTAAATGTTATTTAACAAACATTTACATCAAAAGTCTGTTCTGTATTGCCTATGTTTAACCAATTATACAAATCAATTAAACTAAACAAATGTGGATAAATACAAGATAAGAATGTGTCTGATACTTTGCTTCACTATTTGAGAAAATAAAAAGTTATGAAATGTCTTCCCCACTATTTTAATCCGTTGACTGTCAGAGTGCTTCGATAAAGCAAAGTATTGTAAACTTTGAGGTGCAAAGGGTCCAATATTAAACTTTGTTTGATTTCAACAAAAATTGAATATATGGGGTTCTTTGATATGCTCAATCTAACTGTGTATTTACATTTTGAATTTTGGGCCTCATTATCAAATTGATGCACATTGAGGTCCAAAGGGTCCAAAATTAACTTTGTTTGATTTAAAAAAAAAAGGAATTCTTGGGGTGATTTGATATGGTGAATCTAACCATGTATATAGATTTTGGATATTGGACCATAATCATTTGATAATAGGTAAATGTCCAATTTCAAATTTTTTAGTTTTTAGACCACATTCATCCTGTATCAGAAACCTATGCAATGTCAAATATTTAATCACAATCCATATTCAGAGCTGTATTGCACAGTTGATAGACATTGTAAGTAGATTTATAGTTAAAAATATATAAAGCATTAAATTCTAATTTTAGAGAAGAAATTATGTATAAATATTATATAGTTTGAAATTTACTGTTCATTATTAGATATTTTGAAAAATAACTAAAGGTAAGTTTTATAGAATTTTTAAAGATATTGTATAAATGATGAATGATATTTTGGAAATTATTTTTTTCATATTTTTGGTAAATTTTTTGAAGAACTTCATGGTAGGTTTATTTGTTATTCTGTTATCTGAATGCTATTTACATATTTTTTTTGATGAAGGGAATCCCTTTAAAAACTTAGCTAATATTGTCCATTAATAAATAAATAAATTAAGTTCTTGGTATACTTAAATATGCTGAATCTAACCGTGTATTTAGATTTTGGATATTGGAACATAATAGGTAAAAGTCCAATTTCAAATTTTTCAGTTCTTTGACCGCATTCATCCTGTGTCAGAAACCTATGCTGTGTAAAATATTTAATCACAATCCATATTCAAAGCTGTATTAAGCTTGAATGTAGTGTCCATACTTGCCCCAACTATTCAGGGTTCAAACCTTGCTGTCATATCAAGCTGCGCCCTGCAGAGCATTGTTTTTGTAATTAATACAGGAATTTAATTGTAGATGTTATTTCTTTTAATGTATAGCATGTTTTATAGATGAAAACAAAAAATGGCAGAAATATTTAAAGAAGATTAAGAAAGCTGTTGAAGAGTATAAAGATTGTAATCAAGATGATTGTTCCTGTCATGAAAGGTATTATACCATAGTTCTTATGATGTCTGTATTTTATACTGTAATACTTGGTATTGAAAAAGGAGATGTAAGGTATATGTCAATGAGACAATAACCCAACAACATCAAAAATCAAAAGATCAGAGTGATAAGGACGAGCAGCTGAAATATAAATATTTGGTCGCTATTTCACACTTCATATCATATGATAAGAGCGAAAAAATTTAAGATTAAATATGAAATAAGGTTGCTGATTATATTACTAGAATCTGAATCTTCTGAATCAAATGCATCAGATATTTGTCAAATCTATTTTCCATTTTAACTCTCCATGAAATAGTGTACTATTCATTGTAGCTATGGGTCTAATATTATTTTGCAAAAAAAATTTATGATAGGGTATGTATTTTTGTCCCCAGCATAACGCATTGCGGGGGACATGGAAATACCAGGTGTCTGTCCGGGTTAGTTAGCCATCTCATATGAACAATTCTTGCCAGAATTTTATGAAACTTATATCATAGGTTTATATTAGCAATGTCTTAGACGAGTTCTAAAATCAGTGTCGATCAATTATCTTTAAAAGTGTTATTTCCCTTGGAAACATTAATTATATTTAAAATTGGATCGTTAGCGCTCTAATGTGTACAATTCTTGCCAGAATTTTATGAAACTTATATCATAGGTTTATTTTAGCAATGTCTTGAACAAGTTCGATAATCAGTGCTGATCAATTATTTTTAAAAGAGTTATGTCCCTTGGAAACATTTATTATATTGAAAATTGCATCGTTAGCGCTCTGACATTTGTACAATTCTTGCCAGATTTTTATGAAACTTAAATCGTAGGTTTATATTAGCGATGTCTTGGACGAGTTCGATTTTTTTGCATTTGCTCTGAAGCCTTCATTTCTCTTCAGATATTAATAAAAAGTTTTAAAGAACAAAAAGAAAGTTTTTTTTTATTTATTGCCCTTGCACCTTGGATAGATAAAATATGTGCAACACGGGGGACATTGGAACTCTGTTCTTTTATTAGATGTTCAAAATATATAAAAAGAATGGGGTACTGGATGTCTCAGCTTTTTGTGCTAACATGTTTGTTTTGTTTATACAGTGTTATTGATTCAGACTTAGCCGTATGGAAAGAAGGTATATCTAAAGAACAATTTGACAAAGCAAAGGGGAAAGGAACACATTACCAAATAATAAATCATAAACTGTACAGAGAGGATGATTGTATGTTTCCTGCAAGGTATGTATACTTTGTTTAAATGCTATATAACTTCAATAGCATCAGCTTGTTTTAAAAAGTTTGTAAAAATATTGTATAGGGCTTAATATATTTTTGTGAAAAAATTATATATGGTGCTGAAATTATTTCCTTTCGAAGTAACAGCTGCTGTTGATGATGCTTAGTTCGTTGTTTTCTATTTTACCTTCTAAAAAAGTTATACTTAGTTTCCAGTCTTATAATTTATGATGCCAGAAAACATTTCATCTATTCTCACCAGTCTTTAAGTCAGTAAGTGTCAGTAAGTGTTTTGCTTTAAATAAGAGTTAGAAATCTTATCAAACTTCAAATAATTATAGAAAAGATTGAGCAATATAAATGGAAATTTATATGTCATATAATTTATGAATCTAGAATACTGTAGATAAGAATACTTTTAAGTTCTTGCAGTTTTTCACATTTTGGATTTTTAAACATTAAAGTTCCACCTTTACCCGGTAACCATTTTCTGCTGAAACAGTGAAATATTGAATAATTTAATTTTCCATCTTGATTTGATTTGATTTGATTTTTGGTGTTTTAACGCCACTTTTAAGCACCGCTTTTGGGCTATTTGTGGGCGGCCAGTTTTTATTGGTGGAGGAACCCGGAGTGCCCGGAGAAAACCACCGACCTGCGATAGGAAAACTGACAATCCTAGTCAATTAAGATTGGAGTCGAGTGCACCCGCACGAGCGGGGTTCGAACTCACAACCTCAGTGTTGACTGGCTAGTGATTACAGTAGTAACTACTTAGACCACTCGGCCACCGAGGTCCCTTTTCCATCTTGATGTTTTTAACATAAGTATTAGTATGGTAATACTTAAGCATACTTTTATTATTTAATATGATTAGTATATCAATCTGTAAATCACTCTAAACATAAAATTCCTCAAGACTTTTGGATTTTGATATTGAGCAATTCTCAAATTTTTAGACAATACAAATCATTTTTTAACAGTATTCTGATTTTTCATTTGCAGATGTAGTGGTGTGGAACATTTTATATTAGAAATAATTAAGAAGCTACCAGACATGGAGATGTATATCAATGTCAGAGATTGGCCTCAGTCAGTAAAGTTCCAAAGTCCAATCCCAGTTTTCTCATTTAGTAAAGTGGTAAGAATATTGGCCAATAAACTCAGTTATCGACAATTCTCTACGTCAACATCGACGTTAAAAACCATTTTGGCCATAGTCAAACATTGATACATAACAATATGTTACATTGTCTGAGCAAAATACTAATATTAATATCAATCTCCAACTGTATTTTATGAATGAGTAACATCGGTTGACCTCAGGTCAATCAGTGTAAATGATGTCATTTAACAATCGGTTCTTACTGTGACGTAATATCATAAGCATTGTGACTAAGGAAAGGTACAGGAAAATGCACAAATTTGACATTGTCTCTACCACTTCAAAAACCATTAATATGCACCTAGATAGAATTAAATAAAACAAATACTGAAATATTATAAATTCCTTGTATACAACTGAAATAAAGCAGCTAGGTTTACCTGAGAAATCTTATATAACAATTCAGAACTGCTTTTCTGTTTTATAACTCAACTGACACAAAGGTCCAATAGTCATTCCTTAAGTTAGTGTCAATCTTCTTTGTCCTTTAATTTTGTTAAAAATCTTTTCTTCTAAAACAAGGGAATATATTGAAAAGGATTTTCATTTTAATCATCCAAATGGTGTCCCTTTTAAATTGTTTTTTGTCAGTCCTTCCAAATAAAGATCCCCATATTGAGGTGCATATGTATAATTATGCCTTTCCAAACTTATGACTCTGAGCAATACACAAATTTAAATTATAATCCTGAGCAATACAGAACTTTAAATTATAGATTATAGGTATTGTTTTGAATAGGAAAATAAAAGGGTTATCTTCTAAAAACTACTTTGACAAATATATATGAGATGGGTTTCACCAGCAATTAAACAATTGTCATATTTTTTTTTTTTAGATTATCAAAAACCTACTTAATCAACCTCTTGCTTTGGATTTATTGGTTGCTCAATGCTAATTATATATGTCAATGACTTGTTCTTGACACTAGACACCAGCATTTATTTAATACCACATCACTATGTGTCCATGTGATAAAGAGATGGCAAGTAACATGAAAGGTTATTATTCACTCTGAAGACTTGGAACAAGTATTTTAATGTTGTAAACAAGATATGATAATGAATATTGACAATATTTAATTTATGGAAAGACATTATTCAGCTGACACTTTCACCTCAGTTTATATCTTTATATATGCAGGACTTATCATATGATGATTGGAAACTATATTGTATTTTTCTATCAAAAGATTTTATTCATAAAGTTTTAGAATTTGAAATTTTTCAGGACTCTGAAAACTGGGATATCATGTATCCAGCATGGACATTTTGGGAAGGTGGCCCAGCAGTCTGGCCCATCTATCCCACAGGTCTAGGTAGATGGGATGAGCAGAGAGTTATCATACCAAAGTAACTAATTTAGACATATTACTCCTCAATAGATACACTAGTTATACAATAAACCATACATGTGTTAAGGTAGATTTGGTGTCTTTTTCTGAGCATCCCTTTTGGACATGTTTCAGAAATACTCTTTTGGTTTAAATTTTTTTACCAAATATCATTCAATATAAAACAGAAACATCTAAAACTTGAAATTTTAAGATTTAACTATCAAAAAATCAAGTGTCTTTAAGTGTATTTAAAATTTTCAGAAAAAATCCTTTTAAAATCAAGTGCAGATAATTATACTGAATTTGATTGGACAATTTGTATTTTTTTTTAATTTTTTCAAGAAAAGAAGGCTGTGACCCCTATTTTTATTTGATATTTCGGAAATATTATAAAAAAGCAATTCTCTCATTGAATTTTAACCAATTCTATTGTTTAATGTTTCTTCAATAAGGAAAAATTAAGTTCCCCCTATTTAATCAATATAAAATAACTGTGGTTTCGTTAATTTCAATGTATTTTAACAAAAAAACAAGGTTTGTGACCCTTAGTTTTTAAATTTAAATTTGAGAGTACAATTGACCCAGAAATATTTTACAGAAGTTAAAGAAAAATCTATCGTCAAAGATTTAGACACCCCAACAACCTTAACCTGGGTTTATTTAGCAAGTGATCAATCCTGTATAAAATGTAAGGAAGCTTTTCAATTTTTTTTAAGCTTTTGAATCAAAAGGAATAAATTCAGGGTCTTACCTGAGCACTGCCTAAGCAGTTAAGTTTTTAAAGAGATGAAGTAAAATTATAAATAGAATGGACCACTTGCAAGGAAATTGATTAATTTAAGAAAAAACATATTATTTTAAATATCGATTCTCCTACAGTCAGTGCAAACAAATACTGGTTTAAACAGTCAATCCAATTTAACACTTTTATAGTTACATTTAATAATTATACTTGACAGTTATTGCATTAACAATGGGAATATGAATAAGTTCACGATCACAATTAATAGAAATGAAGAAGACCACTATTTTACACCACAAAGAAGTGGAAAAAATCATTCTAACATGCAAATCATGACATTGCATGGATGTTTTGAATCCTTATTATCATTATCACCATGTTTTGGGAAGAAAATCTTCATCAGTATACCACTATCAAATTGCTTGCTGGATATATGTTTATGACATAGGTTTTCGTGAGCTTGCTCACTAAGGTTCTATCCTTTATTCATAATTTTTTTTATCAATTGTTTATACACAGAGCAGCAGAAAAATGGCCATGGGATAAAAAGTATAATAAAGGATACTTTAGAGGATCAAGAACAAATGCAGAGAGAGATCCTTTGATACTGCTGTCTCGTAAGGAACCAGATCTAGTCAATGCTAAATATACAAAGAACCAGTCATGGAGGAGCAAAGCTGTAGGTGATTTTAAAACAGATGTGTTCATTACATTTTTTTTTCACCATCAGAACTCAGGGATGATGATTATTAATGTTTGCTGTGTTTTTCATGGATAATTTGATTATTCTTGCCAGATTTTATGAAATTTTTATTTTAAAAAAGGTTTATATCAACAGTGTCTTGGACTAGTTTGAAAAAAAAACGATCAACTATTTTTAAAGGATTTATGCTCCTTGGAAATAAAAATTATATGTTAAATTGCATATCTTGTATGATTTCTATAAAATTTATATCAGCAATGTCTTGGATGAGTTTGAAAATCAGTGCTGATCAACTATTTTTTTAAGGAATTATACCCTTGAAATAAAAATTTTATGAAAAAGTTCAAAAGAACCCCCAAAAAATATATAATTATTTCCCCCACTCCAAGAGTGGAGGCCTTGTTTGCCCTGCATCGTTCTGTTCATCCAACAAATATTTCCATCATATTTTTCTTTATGTTACTATTGAACAGAATGACTTTATCATATTTGGTCAGCAGCTTGACAGTGATGAGTTGTTTTGCGTCAGCACTTTTCCAATCAGTTGAACTATTTCCTTTTTGCAGATACTTTGAATTTTACAGTATGTTGAAAGAAATTCAAAAAAGTTTGTCACACATTTCTCCAATACTTCTGAACAAAATGGTTTCATATTTGGTCAACAGCTTGGCAGTGATCAGTTGTGAGTTACAAATGCATTACAGAACTGACAGACACCTGCTTCTGGTTTTCCAATACTTTGAATTACGAGTAGGGTATACTTAGCGAGGCATACAATTTTGTTTGAATTTTTGCTCTTAGACAGATAAAATATTTGCATGGGCAGGATGCATTGGAACACTTTTCATTTGATTAAAAATAGTTATTTTACATAAGTTTGGAACTGTTTTACTTTCAAAGTCGTATTCTAGTGATATCTATTAAGTATGGATTTTCTGTACACTCTCACCATATTTATTTTCTTTTACACACATGCTATTCGAACTTCCGGTTTAAACATACACAAGTTTCTCAATAGTTTTTTTTTGTTGTGATTTTGACTTATTTTAACACTAGTGAAGTATTCTAGAATTACTGGAGTTTCAATAGACGTTTGCTAACAGTTACAAAAAGTTTTTTTACCTGAATTCTCGTGATGAAAAGGGGGGTGCAGACAATATACCAGTGCGAACTATACAAGGCCGATTATGGTAACTGTTTAAGCAGTCTATGAATGACCATTTAAGCTAAAAATCTACACTTGGTTTCTGTTCCACATCTTTTAATGAATTTGTAGTCAAGTAGTTATTTCCAGGGAAGCATTAAGTTCAGTGTAGATAAAATATTACCTGGATACTTAAATTTGTCTCTCATTAATTCTCTATAAGTTTGCTTAGGAAGATAAAATCCTTTCAGAAAGGAAATATGTAAAATAAGTGTCTGTCATTTTGTTTTCAAATGATTTCCATATAATAAGCAGTACTTATATTTAACTTCAGGATACATTAGGAGAAGATCCAGCAGAAGAAATTCCATTAGAAGATCATTGTGATCATAAGTAAGTAGAGGGAACAATTTAAAAAATTTAAAAAGATTTACCTATGGTTATCTTCAGCAGAAACCCATGTGAAGCACACTAGTGAACTGTATACAACTCTTCTATTGCTAGTGTTTCTTTTCTGCATCATCCCAGCTGACTCATTTTATTTTATTGCAATGTGTTAATTGATTGAAGGATTGATTGATTCATTATTCATTGCTTAAAAAAATTAACATTATTTATGATATGTAAGTCCTGTTATTGGGTTGAATGGGATGAAGGGTGGGAAATTTGGACTGCCAATTTGGTAAATTAAAAAGGGTAAGAAATTAAGTCCTGCAACAGGCCACCTAAGGACCCCTCAAAGATTTGTTGCAAGGGTTCTTAATGTGCAAAGAACATTGCACTCCTTCTACACAAGGTTGATTGATGGATAAAACATTGATACAGATACAGATACTTTATTTGCTAATCAAAGCACCCACAAGGAGCAGATAAATTACAACGAATCATACACAAATAAATATGATATATCAAATAAAGAAATTACAATGATTTGTTCTAATTCTTTCTTGATAATAATAATAATAATAATAATAATAACAATAATAATAAAAATTAATTTTTTCTTGATAATAATAATAATAATAATAATAATAATAATAATAATAATAATAATAATAGTTCTATTGGTAACCCCCCCCCCCAATAAAAGAATTGAAATAATGGAAATACAAAGTAAATAACATTTTATTGATCTGAGAATCTCCAGCTGTAGATTTATACATAAAACATAGTCATTCCTAAAATTTATACAAAGTAAATTGAAGATTGAATTGGTCTTTTTAGAAACCCAAGTTTTCCCACAATAATTTGAAATTGTGTATTAAATCCTTAGAATAAAAACAAACCATAAGCTTTTATCTTTGATGTGCCTCAAAGTAAATTTGAAACCTAGTTGATATAAATAAGATAAAATGAATTACATGTTTCAGGTATTTGTTCAACTTTCGTGGAGTTGCAGCTAGTTTCCGACTTAAACATTTATTTCTGTGCAATAGTGTGGTATTTCATGTAGGAGAGGAATGGTTAGAGTTTTTCTATCCTGCCATGAAACCTTGGGTTCACTACATTCCAGTAAAGAAAGATTTGAATGACGTAAGGTAGGTATCTCCAATTTAGTACAAAAATGTAAAAAAATACAATTTTTTGTGAATATAAAAAAGAAGATGTGGTATGATTGCCAATGAGACAACTCTCCACAAGAGACCAAATGACACAGAAATTAACAACTATAGGTCACCGTTCGGCCTTCAACAATGAGCAAAGCCCATACCGCACAGTCAGCTATAAAAGGCCCCGAAATGACAATGTAAAACAATTCAAACGAGAAAACTAATGACGTAATTTAATGGTAATACTTTTGTTTCTGATGAATATTTTGTGATCCACAATTGCAGGTCATATTTTATTGTTTTTTCCTGCGTCGTCGAAGTAGAAGCAGGTTAAGTAACTGCTCAACTCTGGCAGTCTGTCTGTCCGTCCGTCTGTCTGTCCGAAAGAATTTTTTTTTTTGGTTTCTATGATAGGGAATGATTCAATATTTAGTCTGTAGCTTGATGATGTTGAGTTGTAGCCAGTAAGAAATTTTTACATCTGCGATATAGCCACTTCCTGTTTGACGATAGTTTGAAATTTTACAACTCTCACTGTACAAGGAAAATTTTCTTCAAAATTTTCTTGGCATCAGTATTAAATGGGAATGATCAGTTATGCTCCTGTATAATATAACCTCAAACAATTGCATGGTCGGAACCCAATATTGGTCTTGTTACAAACATTTACTCAGTGTAATGTACGGTTCTGGAAATTTGGCCCTGAATTGGTCTTTATGTCTGTGCTCATTTGTTAAGAATTACTAATGAATAATGCCAAAATAGTAAATTTCGGGCTTGACTGCTGCAAATATTATACCCATGCTAAATTTCCATTTTTTTTTTTAGAGAATTATTAGTTTTTGCCAAAGAAAATGATGATGCTGTTAAAGGTATAGCTGAAAGGTAAAATACATATAATTTACATGCAGTTATAAGTAATTTATGAAGGATTTGTGTTTCATTGCTTCAGCGTTTTTAAACCAAGAGTTGGTACATTGTACCAGTATGTGTTTCAATTGTCCCATTGAATAAATACAATAGCTATTGTACTCTTTGTAGTTTATTAACTGGGACCTTTAAGTTTCTTCTAAGAGAAATCCATCACTCATTGATTAATTTACATAAAGCAAAAATTATCTAAGTAGATGAAAATACATGTAATCAACTCACAAAACTGCATGTGATGTTGTATTTATTCAATACCAATCATATATTTTCAATTTGTTCAATATATACACTGATTTAATCATAAAAAATAGATTTCTGACAACATTTTTAGCATTGTTCCTATTGAAACTTTCATTTTTTTGTGTATGTATTGTTATAGAATACATTTAAGAAAGCCTTAATTTAAACATTGTCATTTTCCAGTTTTTAAATTGTCAAACACACAAAAAAAAAAAAATTTCAATAGGAACAATGTTGAAAATTTTGTCAGAAATCAAATCTTAATGTTTGAAACAGTGTTTACATTGAAAAGATTGAAAATATGTTATTGGTATTGAATAAATACAATATCACATGCAGTTTTGTGAGTTGATTACATGTATTTTCATCTACTAAGAAGATAATTTTTGCTTCAGGTAAAGCTACAAAGTTGTGTTTTGTTTTTAAATACATATATCTTAAATGTTCATGTTATTAAGAACTTCGACTTGGAGCATTGTAACCTGTGTATTGTTTGATAGCATAGACAGGTGTCATTTCTCTGTAAAAGAAATAACATTGTTTTTTTATAAAATTTTTTAGCCCAATGCAAATTTTCAATTAGAATAAAAGACCTAAGCAAATAACATGAATAATGAAAAATTAATGAGCAAGTAGTTTTATTGTCTGTGGGGTCTTAATTGACACATACATATGTTTTTACAGGTGTTAATCACTACTTCATTTTTTTATGACCTAGTCTTTTCGTCCTTCTGTCTTTCCATCCTTCCGTCTTTCTGTCTTTCCGTCTTTCTGTTCATCCCATTTTCTTTTTCTCACACTAACTTAAGTTTGCCTTATGCATATTTAATGAAACTCATACACAATGCTAAGAACAGAATCACACAGACAGAGTTCAAAGGAGAAGGTCCGGTAAGGGCTAGTTTTGGCCTAATATTTGAAGTACATCTAATGAAAGATTTTTGACATTTTTTAAACTATTAAGTGTCTACTCCAGTCGATTCAATTAGTTTATGTAAAAGATTTGGACTGATTTGGTCAATGAAGCCACTTAAATTCAAGCTTAAATGTGAAAAATCTATCAAATATGCCATAAAACGTCTTTTTAGATGATTTTTATCTAAAATGTAAGTGGCCGCAGTCTCAACATTTATATATGTTATGTTTTATCATCAAATACAACATATATTTAGATACTAAGACTGAACACAAATGCAGCCACTTCCATTTTAGACAAAAACTGTCTTAAAATTAGCACAAATGATAAAATTGTAAAGATTTCAGTAATATTGCATGAATTTATGATGCTATTACCTGATGCATGTGCATTATATTGTCAAAAACAGCCCATATTTATGGGACAGAAGTATGCTATTTTCCAATAAAAAGCTAAAAGTTTACATTTTAACAAATTTGTAAAAATGCTATATTTTGGGGCCAAAAAGGGGTCTTACCGGGCCTACTCCTTTGGGCAGTGAGTCAATTTCTGTTCTAAAGTTGTGTCCTTTTTAACTTGGAAAATTGCAAAGCTTGATTAGTGGCATTTGTGTCCTCAGACACATTCTTCTCTCATTTGGACAAACAACAGATGAGCTTGGGTATTAAAAATTAATTGTCTAAATTTCAAAAATTAATTAAGTTATAAGTTGTTTATTTTCATTATGTCTATGAAAAATTTCAATACCTGATATGCTTAGGAAGCACATATTAAAATATTTATGGAAACAAAATTTATACAAATTGTAAAAAAAAAGAATTTGGTTCTAAATTCCATTATTATTTCAATTACAAACACGTTTTGCAGGATCTCAACATTGACGACTTCAAGTCTAAACCTCCTGATTGCACCTGTGCTAGTTTCCAATTCACATATAATCCGGCTGGCCACGTTATTACTGGAGACCTCAACATTGTCGATAACACTTCCCTGCGAAATTTGTTATCCAAAGGTCCGAAATATCGTGAGCCTAAATCCATCAATTGGAAATACAACTTCAAAATACTGATGGATTCAGTCGAGGATTATGCCAGGCAATGGGCTAAATGCGAGAAAGAAGATGTAGATACTCTTTCCGAATGGATTAAGGCTGTGAGGTCGTTGATACAAATCTGAATTAAGAAACTAAATGGGCATATCAATACCCACGCTACATCAATTTTTAAAGACCCAAATGTTGCAAAACACTTGTCCTACCTCCATGACAAATATGTTGTTGTCCCCGCAGATAAAGCCCCAAACAACATCGTTTTTGTGTGTAAATATCATTACATAAACTGCTTGATAAATGAATTAGGTATTGACAATTCACTTGGAAACTCAACATATACCCTCACGACACTTACCAAAGAGGAAATCCTAGATAATCATAGGTCTGTTCTATGTTCCTTTGGAATTTCAACCAAAGACGAAGAACTGGATCTTCCATCACTGTATTGGATACCTAAACTACATAAGTGTCCTTACAAACAACGGTACATTGCTGGGTATTCCAAGTGCTCCACGAAACCTCTTTCTAAATTATTAACATCTATTTTATCAGCAATCAAAGCCGGGCTCCAAAGTTATTGTGAAACTGCCTATTCTAGAGGTGGCGTGAATCAGATGTGGATACTAAAAAATTCCAAAGATCTTTTAGAGTACATACAATCTAAGACTCTCTCATCTTGCAATAGTATTAAAACATTTGACTTTTCTACACTTTACACAAGTATTCCCCATTCCAAACTAAAAGACAAATTGAAAGAGTTGGTATTACTTTGTTTCATTAAAAAGAATGGCGAACGTAGATACAAGTATCTTGTCTTGGGGAGGGATAAATCCTACTTTGTAAAGAATCACTCTGATTCAAACAAAAAATTCTCTGAAACTGACATTATCAAGATGCTTGATTTCTTGATTGACAACATATTTGTTACGTTTGGAGGACGTGTTTTTCAACAGACTGTCGGAATTCCAATGGGAACCAATTGTGCCCCTCTTCTTGCCGACTTGTTTCTTTATTATTATGAGGCTGACTTCATACAAGAGCTTCTTAGGAAGAGAGATAAGAAGTTAGCAATATCCTTTAACTCTACGTTCCGCTATATAGATGATGTTCTCTCACTAAATAATACAAAATTTGGTGACTATGTTGAACGAATCTATCCCATCGAACTAGAGATAAAGGATACTACAGATACAGTTAAGTCTGCCTCATATCTTGACTTACATCTAGAAATTGACAATGAGGGTCGGTTGAAAACAAAACTTTACGACAAAAGAGATGATTTCAGCTTCCCAATTGTGAACTTTCCATTTCTATGTAGCAACATTCCAGCAGCGCCTGCATACGGAGTATATATCTCCCAATTGATACGATATTCCCGGGCTTGTGTTTCCTATCATGATTTCCTTGATAGAGGATTACTGCTCACAAGGAAGCTATTAAACCAAGAGTTCCAAATGGTGAAGTTGAAGTCATCCCTTCGTAAATTTTACGGACGCCATCACGAGTTGGTTGACCGTTATGGAATAACCGTTTCACAGATGATATCGGATATGTTCCTTATGTCGTAACTACAATACCCTTCCCTTTTCACGAATGTGACTTACCGAATTAGACTATTTACCGGATTTGTAATAACATAAGCAACTCGACGGGTGCCACATGTGGAGCAGGATCTGCTTACCCTTCCGGAGCACCTGAGATCACCCCCAGTTTTTGGTGGGGTTCGTGTTGCTTAGTCTTTAGTTTTCTATGTTGTGTCATCTGTACTATTATTTGTCTGTTTGTCTTTTTATTTTTGGCCATGACGTTGTCAGTTTGTTTTCGATCTATGAGTTTGACTGTCCCTCTGGTATCTTTCGTCCCTCTTTTAAGTGGGCTCATTTGTGTCGATCAACTAAGTCAAAGTTGGATTCCAATCCCCCAAATTAATGTTCTTTGCTATTGAATGTCCATGTAGTTATAACAAATTTTGTGTAACTAAAATTGGAGTTTATATCACAAAATGTTTTAAAAATAAAAATAAGGAGATGTGGTATGATTGCCAATGAGACAACTATCCACCAAAGTTTAAATGAAGTGGATGTAAGCTATTATAGGCAACTGTGTAGCCTTCAACAATTAGAATAACCCATACTATATAGTCAGATATAAAAGGCCCTGACATGAAAAATATGAACAATTCAATTGAGAAAACTAACAAAACAACTTATGAAAAACATATATGACAGATATGAACCAACTACAACCACTGACTACAGGCTCCTGACTTGTGACAGGCACATAAAGAATGTGTTGGGGTTAAACATGTTTGAAGGCCCCAACCCTCCCCTTACCTGGGATAGTGGTGTAACAGTACAACATAAGAACAAACTATAAAAATCAGTTGAAAAAAGGCTAAACTCATCAGATCCATATAAGCATATTCATATATCACAAGGGTTCAATCTCACAATGAAACATTTGGAGTGTAATTTCATTTAGTGAACTGTTATCAAAATAAATCACACATTTTCCCTCTACATGCCCAAGCGTGGTTATACTAAACTTGTTATATAGAAGATAGAATCAATCATAGTAAATACTAGTTTGATAAATTTTTTATTCATGCTTGTATATCAAAAATTTTCTATATACAAAATTTGTAATCAGCAAGTAATCTAATATGAAGGTAATCATGATTACACCTGTTTTTTTACATTGTAATTGATTAAATTATGATTACATGTAATCAGAAATTGCTAGATTACAGATTACATGTGATTACATTGCAAAATATAATTGATTACAGCTGATTATGATTACCAATTACGATGACCTCATCCCTGTGCATTTATTTATTATTATTATATTATATTGATCATTGAATCTAAATTTTTTTTTAATTCCAGAGGAAGACAGTTTATAATGGACCATTTAAGGATGGAAGATGTTTCATGCTACTGGGAAAAATTGCTTAAAAATTATGCAAAACTTTTAAAATTTAAACCTAAAAGAATTCAAAAATACAAACAATTCAAATGAATAGCAATCAAACCAACGACTTTTCAATGTTCATTTCAATTCATATTAAACATTGTAGTTCAATTTACATAACTACGTAATCTATTGAAGTGTAGACTACATGTGTACCTAGCTTCAATTGACCAATTTAATTACGTGCCATATTTTTATTGTCTAATGGAATTACTTATAAAGTGTATGTTTTATGCCACATTCTTGAATGTTTAATTGTTGTATTGGTTTACTGGTTTTTGTCTTTTATCTGTCAGGGTTATTTAATTTTATATTTAAGTTTTGGGACCAAACCATGTATCACAACCTTACTAAAATCATTTAATGTGAATGTCACAAATACATATACTTAGACCTCTATAACTTTTTTTTTGCTTTGTATTGAAACCCCTTTCTAAGAAAATGGCATTTCTAAAGTATTTTGGTCTTATCTTATACACTACTAAAAAAAAAGTTTAGCAACACAATTTTTGACTGAAAATAAACTATTTGAAACTTTTTGAAAGTAAAACAATATATCAATTTATCTTTCAATTATTTTTTTTCTTAATCTTCAATCCTTTGTGTATTCAAAGTACTACAGTTATGTTTGTCAAATTTAAACAGCTACACTGTGCGCAAACTTTGAAATTCACAATTTTACAATTTTTTGCACATGGTCTCGTTAAAAAATGCCTACAACACACAAAAATGATAAAGTGACGAATCTGATAGCATAATTAATTACATTTGAATAGAAACTAACATGTCCATTGAAAAAATGAAGAAAAATAATTTGGAGGGGCACTTTTTTACTACCCAAAGATTTTAGTTTTCTTCTTTAATCAATTCAACATCCTTTAAAACAGGAATGCTGTTAACTTCAGATAATTTTGAGCATTTTCTAAGAAGATATGAGCCCTCAAATTTCGACCCCCATTAATCTCAATTAAAGTGTTGCAAAACTTACTTTGAGTAGTATAAACATGTATATTACTGTAATTGTATGATTTTTTTTCTATTATTTTCTACTTTTTTTTAGATGTAATTTATTATTTTTTTCCAAATATAAAGATAAAATTAGACATGATTTAACTGTAGACTATACACATGTACTCATGGTGGATAGAAATATTTATTAGGTCATTTAACATTTGTTAACTAACATCAGTTATTAGAAATGACACTTGTTCCTGAAGGTCATTTAAGAAAAGAATTGTGCAACATTCTAAATTAGTAAGAATGGGTCTAAAATCTAGTCTTCCAACAGTACAAACCTCACATTTAAGAGTTATTGTGAGGCTTGCATGGCATGCATTGAGCTAAGTGGTGGCCCTTGAATAAATGCCCTAGTGTTGTTTTGTTTGACCTAAGATTGTTATTGTCCCCCACTAATGCGTTGCGGGGGGTCATAGAAATACCGGGCGTCCGTCTGTTTGATCTTGTTAGCGCTCTCATATGTACAATTTGTGGCAGACTTTTATAAAACTTATATCATAGGTTTATATCAGCAATGTCTTAGACGAGTTCCAAAATTAGTGGCAATCAATTATTTTTTAAAGAGTTATGCCCCTTTGAAACCTTGATTATATGGAAAATTGCATCGTTAGTGCTCTCATTTGTACAATTCTTGCCAGATTTTTATAAAACTTATAACATAGGTTTATATAAGCAAGGTCTTGGACGAGTTTGAAAATCAGTGCTGATCAATTATTTTTAAAAGAGTTATGCCCCTTGGAAACAATAATATGGAAAATTACATTGTTAGAACTCTCATGTGTACAATTCTTGCCAGATTTTTATGAAACTTATATCATAGGTTTATATCAGCAAAGTCTTGGACGAGTTAGAAAAATCAGTGCCAATCAATTATTTTTAAAAGAGTTATGCCCCTTGGAAACATTCATTATATGATAAATTGAATCGTTAGCGCTCTCAGTTGTACAATTCTTGCCAGATTTTTATGAAACTTATATTGTAGGTTTATATCAGCAATATCTCGGACAAATTCGAAAATCAGTGCCAATCAATTATTTTAAAAAGAGTTATGCCCCTTGGAAACATTATTTGTATGGACAGTTGCTTTGTTAGCGCTCTCATGTGTACAATTCTTGCCAGATTTTTATGAAATTTATATTATAGATTCATATCATCAATGTCTTGGAGGAGTTCGAAAATCTTTGCTGATTAATTATTTTTAAAAGAGTTATGCCCCTTGGAGATATTAATTATATAGAAAATTGCATCATTAGCGCTCTCATGTGTACAATTCTTGCCAGAATTTTATGAAATTTATATCATAGGTTTATATCAGCAATGTCAACAAGAAAATAATGTCAAGAACTAGGAGTTAAAAATATATACATATTATACAAGGCTTTAGGAAAACAACAACATAACCACATTTAAATTGCAAAAACATACATGTGTATGTTATTCATGTTTTTTTTTGTGTTGACATTTATATACATGTATTTTTAATAGTCTTGTGTACTTTTTTCAAAATTCTTGATGTTTTTAAATTTCTATCATTAAATGAAAAACAGCTGTAATACCTATCCCCTTTTCCACAGGAGGGAGGTAAACTGAATTACCCATCTGGCAGAAAAATATTTATTGACATTTATTTACATATATTTTAATAGTCTTGTGTACTTTTCTCTGTAATACCTATCCCTTTTTCCACAGGAGGGAGGTAAACTGAATTACCCATCTGGCAGAAAAATATTTATTGACATTTATATACATTAATATACATGTATTTTTAATAGTCTTGTGTACTTTTCTCAAAATTCTTGATGTTTTTAAATTTCTATCAGTAAATGAAAAACAGCTGTAATACCTATCCCCTTTTCCACAGGAGGGAGGTAAACTGAATTACCCATCTGGCAGAAAAATATTTCTATCACATTTTACTTGGCAACTTCAAGTCAAAGCTTGCTATATGGCACCAAGCTTCATCTGTTTATGCCAAACCCTGGGACAGGTTTCAGCTCATTCAATGTTTTACTTCACCCTTGCTGGAAACATCTAAAGCAGGGGTTGGATTATTGAGAATAGATCTTAATACCTCTTGTTGATCTTGCATGAACACTTATTTTTGTCAAATAATTTGTTATACTCAACTGATGTTTTGTTATCTATTCTATATGACAAATGAAATTCGTTCAGGATTTTTTTTTTAAAAGATTTAAAAAAAAAAGGGATTTCTGAGAACATTTGATGTTAAACCCACAATTTAAATATTTTTGTATAGACACTTAGTTTTTGGTAAAGTTTATTAACAAAGTACCCTGTGTGTATGAACATTTATTACATTGATTGCAGTGAATTACGGTGATTTCCCAGTGAAACAAAAACCGATAATTTCACATGTGAAATAAACTCGATAATTTCACTCCTCTTACGTCATACAACAAAAGGTGTTCTCAAGACATTGTTGACGAAGTTGCATCAAAACAAATTGTGAATGCGTAGAAAAAGATATAGTTCCTTGCATTTTCTACTTTATTTCCATTAAAAAGCCCATTGTCAATGTAATAAAAAGAATAACTAATCAAAGAATTCAAATATCAAAAAATATTCAACTCGTGACTATATAAACAACACTGATAATTAACTCATGCGCTATGCACATTCATGAATTAATGAGTTGTTCAGTCACTCATTGAATATTTTTCTATATTTGAATTCTTCGTTTAGTTATTCTATAATTAAAAAGGGTTGTTTGTTTGATGCTTTATTTAGATTTATATATAGTAGATTTATATATAAACTATAATTTAGACATTTTATATTGAATTCTGTAGGATTTTTAATAAAAAAAAAAGTCTCCTTAAAATGAATTATGTCACTTTTAGAAAAATATTAGATTTTAAAAGAGGTGTTTTGTTATGAAAATCTGACTGTACAATGGAGATCTTATAGAAACTGCCAAAATTTGAACAGCATTAATAGTTTTCATTTTCTGTATTACCTAATACATTGTGCATTTTTTATCTTGTGCATTACCACATTTGAATTCTTATAGCTTTTATAAATCAAAACTGATTTACTTTCAGTATATGGAAATATAATAAAATTAGATATGATCATTCCATTTAAAGACTGTGATTTGAATACAATTATTGAAATCCATATGACATAGTATTTGATGTTAGAGAATTCTAATATTATACTTTTGTATCTTAAATCTGCTCCACTGCCTTAACATTCATAGTACATTTATGTTTTATAGTGAATTTGTTGGGAATAAATTATTATATTTTTTAGTGTTGTTTTTTAATAGAAAATAAGGGGTCATCCATAATTGCCAGCCATTTTCCAAAGTGTGCAAAAAAGAATCCCCCCCTAAAAAAAGTGTACATTAATAGTTTTCAGAATTTGGACCAGAACGTCTAATCATGTTTAAAAGTTTGTTTTTTTACCAGTATTAAGTTATATTGGATTCTTTTCTATGCCATTTTTCATACTGTTATATGAATATTTTGTCATTGCCAGTGAGACTGATTTATTTAATCATGTAACAAGGGTGCACAAGTTGAAATATCTGGCCTGCTTTTATAATATATATTGTATATTTCTATCACATCGTTGTCGTCGTATGAAGACATTTGGTTTCAGGACAATAACTAGTTTAAATTTATGGATCTCTATGAAATTTAATCAAAAGGTTCAATACCACAAAAGAAAGGTGGGGATTTGTTTTTGGGGGTGGTCCCAACCGTTTAGGAATTAGGGATCAAAAATGGGCCCAAAATAAGCATTTTTCTATTTTCAGGCCATAACTTGTGTATAAGTATTTTGATTGCTCTGAAATTGTACCACATTTTTGGGGTAATTGCCCAAACCTTTCAGGAATTAGGGGCCAAAAAGGGTCTAAAACAAGCATTTTTCTAGTTTTCAGACAATTATGTGTTTAAGTGTATTGATGTCTTTTCCTCAAGATTTAAGAAATTGTCAATTTTCCAAAGAAAAAATTGGGGTCACAATTTATTTTGCTAATTCTATGTATATAGTCTGAAAACAGATTTACTAAATGTATTGCACAAAAGCAAGAAATCTTCAATTGAATATAAATTCAAATCATATAACCAATTTCAAGTTCTTTAAATACATTTATTCTATGTCAGAAACCAATAATGAGTCAAATATTTAATTACAATCCAAATTCAGACCTGTATCAAGCTTGAATATTGTGTCCATTTTTGCCCAAACTGTTCAGGGTTGGACCTCTGCAGTCGTATCCAGCTGCGCTCGGTGAAACAGTTTATTATATCTATATTTCTGTTTATTTTGGGTTATATGACTGTCTGCAGTCTTCATAGGTCACATCAATAGTTAATTAGATGGTGTCTAGACTAAAATGCACACGAAATGCTGATACATAGTATCGAGCTCATGCATTGTAAATTGTTTATTTTAGACTTTTTAAAATTTAGATATATGTTTTAGTATGTTATAAATCAAATATGAGAATTTGAGTCAAATGGGTGAACATAAATTTGACAGCTAATGACCCTTTAAAAATAAACGTTTTACTTCAAGTATCACATAAACATTATCAGTGATCAATGACAATAATGTCAAGGTCAGATAACACCTGGCAGACAGACATTTACACATAAGAATCATTCCATACACTACATATTATGATAGTAAGTTTACCTTTTGCTAATGGTATCAAAGAAACAAACCAAACTAAACTTAATATTGACCAATGAACCATAGTTGACCTATTGCTAATGATATCTAAGAAAACAGACTTTAACTAGGAAAACTAAATATTGACCAATGAACCATGAAAATGAGGTCAAGGTCAGATGAACCCTGCCAGATAGACATGTACACTTACAGTCATTCCATACACCAACAATATTTGACCTATTACTTATAGTATCTGAGAATAAGACCAAACTACAGAAACTTAAATTGACCATGAAAATGAGTTCAAGGACAGACAGACATGTACACCTTACAATTCTTCCATACACCATTTATAGTTGACATATTGCTTATAGTATTTGAAAAACAGACTAAAACACATAAACCTAACATTGACCAATGAACCATGACAATGAGGTCAAGGTCAGATGAAACATGCCAGATTGACATGTACCTTTTACAATCATTCCATACATCACAAAAAGTTGACCTGCTGCTCATAGTATCTGAAAAACAGACTTTAACCAGTCACTTTAACCTTGATCACTAATCCATGAAATGAGGTTGAGGTCAAGTGAACCCTGTCTGATGGACACTTAGACATTGCAAAGAACTCATATACCAGATATAGTTATCCTATTACTCATAATTATATATATATATATATATATATATGATAAGTGAGAAATTCACATATGTCAGATGGATACGTTATAACGTAAGGTATCAGCATACGAGGTATATAGCATCCAGGTCTCCTATCTTCTGAAATATAAAGCTTTAAACAAATAGTTTATGCCACCTGATAGTAATCCTTTTTGTCATAGGTGAGACAAAAATAACTATAAATCTGATTAGTTTAAGTAAACACAGTAGTTGTCATGTGTTACAATATTTCCATATGGTCTTCTAATGTAAAATAAAGTTGCCAACACTGGCTGTAACGGTTAACAATCTCAATGAAAGAAACAACTTACTTAGTCATTCACAGGATACATTTATTCTTGTATGTTTGATTTCAATATATTAAATGGTTTTAATATTAATAAAAGGACATGTGGGGTATATACCTCAGTGATAAGCAATCCACCAACACAAAAAAACCAAAAAGATCTAGAGGTCAACATAAGGTATTCATCAGTAGATAATTGTCTGTATGATATGTCAAGCTGTACAACACTTATATGAAAGTTTTAATATATTTATGGTGGACATATTGCTATAGTGACCAGCACCAAAATAACACAAATCAGTAACTTAAACGATCCTCTCATATATGTTTATTAATAGAATCTTATTCTAACCTACAATGCTTATTTTGATGCAATGATACCTGCAATTTCAATCTGATGGGAAAATCAACATTACAGCAACTCAGTCAGTATATTGGAGAAAAATATTCCTTTGGTCAAGATTGAAAAATACAGTCTGCATCACAATATTTTAGAGGTTAATAGAAGGTGAGGTCCACAAAAATGATCAACCTTGCCACATTATGTGCCTGACCCAAGCCAGAAGCCTGTAATTGTCATTCTTTGACATCTGTGACAATTGGTTTGGTTTTAAAGCTCATAGCTTAAATCAAGCCCTAATTGTTCTCTTTTTAAAGTTTTTCATGTTTTGTTATCCTGATACCTTTTATACTTGCTATATGGTATGGATTCTACTATTTTTGGGACTGTACTGTGACCTGTTGTTGTTTTCATACATGTTCTTTGGTCTTTTAGGATAGTTGTTTCACTGGCCATTTATTTAAAACCACATCACTTTTTTATACTGTATATCGTAATAGAACTTTATATCTTGAGTACCATTCCATACAAGATTCAAAGTAGTTTTAGACCTTTATAATAGTTCTTAATTAAAAGTTGAACAATATTTCTATAGTTCCCCAGATTCTAATGCATTTGGAGAATGTAGGACAGAAAGTCACAGGACAAAAAGTCACAGACAAAAAGTCACGGACAAAAAGTCACAGGACAAAAAGTCACAATTCAGTTTTGAGATTATTTTTCTTTTAACAAGAAAACACTAATTTTAAAAATTAAATTTTTGTTTTTTCTTGAACTATTATATATGAAGCAACTTTGTAATTAAAATATATTCAATAAATATCAATAATGATCAAATAATTGTTATGAAAACAAAATGTCAAAGTGGCTTGGTACTTAAATGGCTTCATTGTGCCAAGAAATATATCCTTTGCATGATTAAAATTTAATAAATTTTCATTTATCAAGGCTCATGAACAATTTCCTAAACTTTAAAATGAATATATGTAATAAAAAGAAAATATTTCAAGATATTTCTCTTATATATTCAAACAATTGTCAACACATTATTTGTGACTTTTTGTCCTGTGACTTTGTCCTATCAAATTTGTGACTTTATGTCCTGTGACTTTCTGTCCGTTTACCTATTTGGACCAGCAGGTGTACAGGAGGTAAAGGTATTGGATTGGTTGATTAATTGATTGTTTGCGTAAAAGCTCCAGCAGCACAGAAAGTATATATACATTTGTATATCAAGACAATGCACATCAAATAGATGATATAAAATGAACAGCTCCTGCACACTCAGTCTAAGAAAAAGATCCAATTTCTTTACCCTGGGGTTCGCTGTGGGAAGGTAGCAAATTCATATCAGAATAGACATATATATCAAAATAACAAGATACAGTAAGAGCTACAAGAGAGGCGAAGTATACCAAAGGGACATTCAAACTCATAAGTCGAAAATAAATTGACAAGGCCATGGCTAAAAAAGAAAAAGACAGACAAACAACAGTACACAAAACAACATAGAAAACCAAAGACTGAGCAACACAAACCCCACCAAAAACTGGAGGTGATCTCAGGTGCTCTGGAAGGGTAAGCAGATCCTCTTCACATGTGGCAACCGTTGTGTTGCTCATGTTAGTACAAACCCAGTGATAAGTCTAATTCGGTAGGTCACATTCGGGGAAAAGGAGACTGGATTGTAGTGTCGACAATTGGAACATATTCGTTATCATCTGTGAAACGGATATTTCATATTCTTCAAGAAACCATTTAATATGTCAAAGGATAACCTTCTGTCGCATCGCTCCCTCTTCAGTCAAGAGTCTAATGCTCTTTAAAAAGACTGACCATGACCTTTACAATATTTTGTGTGGCAATTGGTCCTAACACATTCATTATTTTTACCATATTTCCTCCTCCTTCGCATACACAATTTAATGTATTGCTGCTACCATAAATAATACAAATTAAATTAAAATAAACATCTTTATTATAACATTATAATATAATTAACAATATTTTACAGTAAATTTGTGTAATAGATGCATCAGTAATGAAATAATTACCTTATTAACAAATCTATACAAACATACATTCCAGAACTTTTATACAACAGCAAAGTTTTACTTGTACTTTCAACATTCATTCTGTTTCTTTAAAGAAACATTCAAATTTTTATCCATTAGGTCCTTTTTACAGCATTTTATCTACATTAAAGCTTTTTTTATAATCTGAACTCACAATAATGAATGTAAATTAACAACATGATTGCTTTTGGAAATTATACCATACAAATCTAATTTGTGACAGATTTTGATATCAATCCCCATAAAGACCCTCAATGTGAAAGTTTGAAAATGGCATGTTTTCCTTTGACAAATCAGATTATGTTGTAATGGCATATTACAAACAAAAATATTTAGAACAGTTGTGTACTAAGATTAAAGAAGCATTCTATAAATATTTTCACTTTCGGTCATCTTTTCACAAAAAACTAGGTCCCTATTTTCACAAATTAAAACTTTCTAAAGAAATGAAAGTATATATTTATTGGCCACTTGGTTAAATTTGAAAAGAGAGGGAGAATTTTGAGTCAAATTAACAACACATGTACATGTGTATTGTTCTGTTGAAAGGATATAGATTTTGATAGTATATATCCCAAAAGCTACAAGAATCTAATCGAAAATGAGCAAAGGTCTTGTGAGGAACTAAAAAGTTTTCATGTATTTGCCTTCTCCAAAATATGGAATTCCTAATATCTAAAGTTTATCCATAATGGCCTTAACCTCACTTGGAGATAATACATAATTGCAGACAAGGAAATGAACTTTGTGATGTAAATTGCACGTTATGGTAAAGCTTGAATGAATAAAAAAATCTGTTTTAAATATAAGTAGGGCAAATACTTCTTTTTTATGATAGTTTGTCTCTTGTAAATCATTTTAAGGCCATTAATATGACCTAAACGTTTTTAACAAAATTGATTTCATCTATTAATGTATCAAGTTTTAAATAATAGTCAGATTATTTTCATTTTAAATAGTAATAAAACAATTACAAACACAAGCATTAATCTTTATTCACTTAAATTTATTATATGTAGCAATGTGTAAAAGCATGCAGCCTTTGATTTTGTTTCTTATGTTAATACAAACTGTGCTAATTAGAATAATAGGGGAGATATCCCACTATATATTTCTTGCAAAAACAATCATGATTACAACAAAAATACTTGTGTCAAAGCTAAGCAAAATTAAATGTAAAGGTCTAACAGAGACAGTTTTGATATCAGACATAAGGACTAACTCATTGTTACATTTTTTTTTACTTTAAAGGGGCATTCGCTACGAGATATGGAAAAAAATAAAATATGATTTTTTTTTTCAATCATTAATGAAAGAGAAATAGTGATATAATAATTCGCTTTTAGCAGCCAGTTTGGTTCAGTTTTGTCAAAATAAGCAAAGAAACATTGCTTATGAATTATTCACTTGCAAGTGAATAATTCGACCTCATTAAATCCGTATTCATGTGAACTTCAATTAAACCCATTAGACAGAGATGGGTTACGCATGAACTAGGCGTGTTCAGCTATTAAAAAGAAAAGAATGTCAACATTGGAAGTGAAACAAGGGTTAACCATTTGGTTGAATGATTCGATCTACAAAAACTCATTGTTATACAGGTAAAAACGATTATTAACATATTTTTTAAACCTATAATATGAAATCAAACAGACCTATAAAAATCCAATTGCATGAGTTTGCTATCTATTTATATCTATGTCTATGTTTATATCAGGTTATATGACTGTCTGCAGTCTTCGAAGGTCACCTCAATGGTTAATTAGATGGCGTCTAAACTAAAATACACACACAATGCTGATACATATTATCGAGTCCGTGCTTCTAAAATTGTTTATTTTAGACTTTTTATTATTTGAATATACATTTTAGTATGTTATAAATCAAATATGAGGATTTGAGTCAAATTAGTGAACATGAATTTGACAGCTAATGCCCCTTTAAACAGACAGGAAAAAATATCATGGACAATCTTGTCTTTTGCAGTAAATTCAGTATTTGTTTATTTAATAATGCAGCAATATATTTTTAAATACATGGAAACTTGAAAAATTGATACTGAAGAAGAACAAATAATTGTTCTTTTTCAGACCTTAATTAAATAAAAAATAAAATAACAAAAATACCAAACTCCAAGGAAAATTCAAAAAGGAAAGTCCTTTATAAAATGGCAAAATCAAAAGCTCAAACACATGAAACATAAATTAAAGTGAATATTTTAACCCAGCTTTTTATGCTTATAACATAAGTAACTGGTGAAGTTTATTGGTTGAACAGACTTATTTATTTGGTTATAATCATACTGTTGTTTTACAATCCCTGTTTTTGAAATGTTTTGGGATAAATACATATTTTTTAATTTATAGTTAGAATCAATACTAAAATGTTTCTTTTCTTTTAGTGCTTTGAATTTGTGTAGTTTGTTATTGGTATTGTAGAAGATTGGGTCTTCCTGTACTGAAACTGCATTGATATGTAAAAAATCTTACAAAGATTAATTCATAATAAAAATCACTACTCTGGCACTTAAATTTTAAACATATTGCAAACACTCTCTTTTAATAATTAATAAGTATTTATGATCAACAAAATGGCAGCTTAACATATACAATATGACTGTGTTTACTGTAATGAAACCTATGAACTGAAGGAGTTTGCATCACTCAACTGTAATTTATGTATCTTATTACCTTAATCTTTGTACTACATACAGTAACTTTATACGTAATAAAAGGATTATGTTTAAGACGAGATATATTATTATTCATACTTGGTTTGTATTACCGGATATCAATAAATATACTGCTGTACAGGTTTTTAACAGAAAAGTGTGTTTTTCTTTGCTGTCCAAAATGGGTTATGTAGCTTTGCCTTTTGTGCATGAACTGGTGCATTTTGTTGGATCATTTAAGGGAAAATATTTAAAGTCAATTACAAAATCAAGTTTTCTGTAAAATTGTTACGAACATTTTCATTTATAACAAATAACACATTCTGTCAAAGGAATAATTATCTCACTTGAGGCCATCAAAAGCTTCATAATTGCAGATGTGGATGCAAATCAGATAAAGTTCTAAAATTATATAGAAGTTTGGTTCCAATTAATGCTCCAGTGGTTTCAGAAGAATTATTTATTGATTATCAGTGGATTCCAAGTGATTGCAATAACTCATGCATGTCTTTTTGGCAAAGTGGGCTAAAACAGAATCATAGATAAAAGTGTAATATAATTGTTTGTTGTAAGTACAATAGTTCCTTAATCCCAATCTTCCTCCTCATCATGACCCCCTGGTGGTGCAGGAGGAGCAGGTATTTTTGAAGATATTGTATCCATGACTGATCCACCACCTGTTGAGGGACTATTGTCTGTTTTATCACTTTTACCACCTCCACCTCCTGATATACCTTTTCTCCTGCCGGTTAATCGATCTTTCAATGCATCCATCAAACTCATTTCTCCTCCTCCAGAAGATTTAACCTTTTCTTTTTCTTTCTTTTTTTCTGCTTTTCTTTCAGTAACAGCTTTGAGTTTAACTTTTCCTGCTCCTCCAGCCTTTCTGATGGCATCCATCAAACTGGATCTTCCATCCCCTTCTGTCACTTCAGCTGGAATTTCTTTTGGAGCAGGAGCAACAGGACCATCACCAGCAGGAGGAGGTGGTGGTGGAGGTGGTGGTGGCATATCTGCTGGAGGAGGAGGAGGTGGTGGAGGGGGTGGAGGTGGTGGTGCTCCAGCCGGGGGAGGAGGTGGCTGAGCAGAATTCACAGGTCCTGGTGATGGAACTATGTCAGGAACTGATGGAATAATGTCGGGTTCAGGAACTACTGATGGTAAATCAGGAATATTGGATCCAAACACTGAAGGTGCTATAGAAGGTCCTTGATCAGCACTGTACGATAAATCATCAGCAACACCTGAAAAATTTAATATTGCACTTTATAAATCTAAACAAGTTCTTATATGAAAGAATTGATAGCATACAAATATTTGCAAAGAGATAACTGATGTTAAAAGCCTTTGTTTATTTACTGATAGTTTACATTAAAAACATTTTTGTAGGGTAAAGTGATTACTCCTAACCTATAACCTGAACGTCAAAAATAACAGCAATTTACATAAATTTGAAGTTTTATTGCTTGCTATGGGGTAAGAGTTTTGCTCATTGCTGAAAGCCTTACAGTGACCTTTACTTGCTTACTTCTACGTTATTTGGAGTGTCTCATTGACAATCATACCACATCTTGATATTTTTAAACCATCAGAAAAATACTGATAATTTAAGGTATTGTAGCTTCTCTCTTGTTTTGTTTCATAAACACACTTGAGACACTAACACTCTTACTTTTAATACAAACATAGAAATAACACTTGTGATAACAAATTTAATGAAACTACTACTTGACAGGTTCTGATTTCTTTATTACCAATTAGTGATTAAGGGCAACATTTGTAAATAAATTGCTTCGCAGAGGGCAGCTCCATACGACCGCAGAGGTCCAACCCTGAACAGATTGGGCAAAAATGGATGCAATATTCGCGCTTGATACAGGTCTGAATTTGGATTGTAATTAAATATTTGACACATAATAGGTTTCTGACACAGAAAAACTGTAGTCAAAGAACTTAGAATTGGTTATATGATTTGAATTTATATTCAATTTTTTGCTTTTGTGCAATACACTATGCTGTTGCGAATTGAAAAATAAATTTTTAAACCCCCCCCCCCCCCCTTTTTTGGCAAGAAATTTTCTTTTTAATTTCTGGAATCTGAAATGAGAAAAAAATTGTCCCCCCCCCCCCAATTTTTTTTACCTCCCCCCTCCTCTTTTCCAAAAAAAAATTCTTTCCCTCAAGATATGGTCATAATCTCAATTCAAATTTCCGATGGAGTTTGCAACCATAATTACCCATTTAAATACATAATAAAAGTCTTAAAATAGAAAATGACATACATAATCATGGCTAAAATTAATATCCCTTAATCAGCATTTTTAAATAGTAACTTCTAAAAATAAATTGACAGCTAATCATCTCAAGACAATACAACATTTCTTTATACATAATTTAAAAGCAGTGTTAGGGAGGTAATCCAAACATAACATTGTACCTTTTTTTAATTGTCCATTAACCAGGAAACCCTTGTTTTTCCCCCTTTTTTGCCCGTAATTCCTAAACGGTTTGAGCCATAACCCCTCAAAGCCAATCCTAACCATCCCTTTGTGGTAAGGAAACTTGTGGTATAATTTCAGAGAGATCCATACACCGTTCCACATGTTATCGTCTGGAAACTAGAAAAATGCTTATTTGGGCCCCTTTTTGGCCTCTAATTCCTAAACTGTTAGGACTATAACCCCCAAAATCAATCCCAATCTTCCTTTTGTAGTTATAAACCTTGTGTTTAAATTTCATAGATTTCTATTTACATTTTCTAAAGTTATTGTCAGGAAACCAAATGTCTTGGGACATTGATGGATGGATGGATGGATACCTGATTATCATTCCTTATTAACCAGTTCAGTGCATTATGTATGAAACTGCCACCTTTTTAATGATAAAAGATAAACTGGTTCATTACCGACTAGCAGGTCATCAATACAGGGCCATTATGAATAAACAGGGCTATTATGAATCAACAGGGCCATTATGAAACAAGAATGCACACGCTGAAATGTCTCGCCTTCTTTACTGACCATTGATTTTATGTTGATAGTCCTAAATATAAAGCTTTACTAAAAGTATCACATAAACTTAACATGATCAAAGAAAACGAGGTCAAGGTCAGATAAACCAAACTGGAAATACATGTACACCTTACAATCATTCAATACACCAAATATAGTTGACCTATTGCTTATAGTTTCTAAGAAACAGACTTAAACAGGAAAACTAAACATTGACAAATGAACCATGAAAATAAGGTCAAGGTCAGATGAACCATGCCAGACAGACATGTACACTTTACAATCAATCTATGCATTAAATAAAGATGACATATTGCTTATAGTATCTAAGAAACAAACTTAACCATGAAAACTTAACATTGACCAATGAACCATGAAAATGAGGTCAAGGTCAGATGATATCTGCCAGACAGACATATACACCTTACAATCATTCCATACAACAAATATAGTTGACCTATTGGTTATAGTTTAAGAAAAACAGACCAAAACACAAAAACTAAACACTGAGCAATGAACTGTGAAAATGAGGTCAAGGTCAAATAAAACTGCCAGACTGACATGTACATTGTAAAATATTCCCATACACCAAATATAGTTGACCTATTGCATATAGTATTAGAAAAAAAGACCAAAACACAAAAACTAATCTTTAACCACTGAACCATGAAAATGAGGTCAAGGTCATGATACCTGCCAGTTGGACATGTACACCTTACAATCATTCCATACACCAAATATAGAAGACCTATTGCTTATAGTATCTGATATATTGACTTGACCACAAAAACTTAACCTTGTTCACTGATCCATGATATGAGATCCAGGTCAGATGAAAACTGTCTGACGGGTAAGAGGACATTGCAAGGTACGCACATATTAAATATAGTTATCCTATTACTCATAATAAGAGAAAAATTATTATTACAAAAAAATCTTAACTTTTTTTTCAAGTAGTCACTGAACCATGAAAATGAGGTCAAGGACAATGGACATATGACAGACGGAAACTTCATAACATAAGGCATCTATATACAAAGTATGAAGCATCCAGGTCTTCCACCTTGGAAAATATAAAGCTTTTAAGATGTTAGCTGCCGCCGCCGCTGGATCACTATCCTTATGTTGAGCTAGGCTCAACAAAAACAGGGCCATTATAAAAAAACAGGGCCATTATGAATCAGGGCTATTATTGATTTTCAGTTGTTATCAATTCAAATACATTTCTGGGGGAAAAAACTTCAAGAAATTGAAAGTTCCCAAGAATCATAACTTAAATCTTCTTTGACCCAGTTGTCAAGTTAATAATTACATACACTGGTAGACCTATTTGGAAAATGCCCGCGATTTTTGGCTAATCTCCGCGAAACGGATAATAATTAGAGGTTCATCGTAAATTTGCTGTATTACAGAATATTATGCATGTTATCCGGAGATTTTCCGTGTCGGCGGGAATTAGCCGTTTGTCCGATAAAACGGGTGTGTATTGAGTCAGTGATAGAACCAGTGATGCGTGAGCGACGGTTATTAATAGATCGTTGTACATAGATGATTATAGAATCCGTTATGCGTGAGCGACGGTTATTAATAGATCGTTGTGATATATACAATGTTTACAGTCAGATTAAAAAAACTATCTTATTTCCCTTTTCGGTCGAGATAAAACGGTGTTTTTGATAATAAAGTTACTTACGATTTAAATATCAAATGTTGTCATTGTTCATTAAAGAAATATCTATTTTAATGTGACCAATGAACAAGATGAATACACGTGTTATCTTTGCTAGACAACTACAATTTTTTTAATATATGAATGGAAATCGTATTTACGTTAAAAAACGTAAACTAATCTACTATTCATGATAGATTCATAATGTGAATCGATAGTTTGGGTCAGAAACTTTGTTCTCACTTTAAAAAATCTCCGGAAGATACCGTAATCGGGCAGGATGTCAAACTGATCTGACACTTGTCCTAGTGTATTTAACACCTGCTGTGATATTGCTTGTGCAATACCAGTGGAAGGTCGTAAATCAATCTGTACCCGATTGATCAGAATTTAATTTTACCTGTACATATATTTAGTCGTTACGGAGGATATCATAGATACATGTTATATATTGTATTGTAATTAATGAAGATAATTTAAATATATTATATAATAAAGACCTAGTTGCATATAAATCGAACATATTCATTCCAACCAAGAAGGTTTGAAATTGAAAGTTTTCAACAAACTTTTGATAAAATCTTTCCCGTAAATTACATACGAGTCATTGGTTTATAGTTACACAATTGTTACCCTTCTAACGTCTTATTTCTTTGTGCTATTAAAAGAACTCAAAATTTTCCATATCAGATCACATTTCGTACGATTCCAATAAATTTTAATTGAATAATCTTCTATTTTCCTTTCGACACCACGTTCCCCATAGGAGCCTCAAGATCTAATCATACCTGTCAATCATTAGCCACAAGTTGGTCCGCCAGATAGATCACTCGTGCTTTCTATTATGACATCGTTGAGAAGTTTTTGTAAATTGATTTTTGATATAAATAAAGTGATGTGAAGTTTATTTTACGGCCGATCAAATTTGATGTGATTCAATTTTTCTTTTACACAAAGATGTTTTTTAATGTCATAAAATACATGGAAATAAAATATTTGAGTTCTTTTTTTCCCGTAAATATATTCAATAAACCAAAATTTATTTCAAAAGGTAAACATTTATAATCATTACAAAGTTATAATTTGATTTTAATTTAAGTCGGTTAATGGAAACAATAAAATGACAACGTCTTTGCAGAAATATTAATCCAGACATTAACGTACTTAGACTGTCCATTTGTTCCACTGTGTAGGACAATTTATTCACGAACTACATCATTAATAATTACTAATATAACAGTTGCTGAAATGTAAGTTGTATATTATTTATTTTTTTACAAACATGCGTTTTGGTTCCGTTCAGATTTGCTATTACAGCATGTGTAGATTCCTTGATTTTCATCTAGTTTCAGTTATATATATACTAGTTCCAGTCAGTATAGGGCTAATCATTTTGCCTTCCAACAAAGTCAACAATTTAGCATCGGACGTATACGTGACTGCGTATTTATACACCTCTATATGTTATATCTGATGTAATGGACTCCTAGTATGTTGTCCTTTTAAAGTTGGCTATACAATATTGGCTGTGCTCATTGTTGAAGGCTGTACAGTGACCTATAGT